CAGAGATAGAGGGAGACTCAAGGTCCTCGACGTTCTTCACAAGTCTTCTGTTAGTCCTTGTCAGTATTCACTACAAGTCAGTCTCATGGACAAGTTACCTCTGATATTCGCCCCTCCTCCATTCAGTCGCCCCCCTCTTTCTCTCTCTCTCTCTCTCTCTCTTGCTCTATCCCTTTCCCCTCTCTCTATCTTTCTCTATGTCTCTCTCTGTCTCCCTCTTCCCCCTCTCGCTCTCTCTCTTTCTTTCTCTCTGTCTCTCTCTCTCTCTCTCTCTCTATCTCTATTGTGTGTTGTATTTACCTCTTTCACTTTCCTTATTTTCATCTACCCCTATTTTTTCTCTCTCATTGTCTTTCTCTTCGTTATCTAACCTTTTTACTTTCTTCCGCCGTTTTTTTTTTTATTAATTCTTGATTTGCTCTTTCAATTTTACTTTATTCTAAATCTGAACACAGTTCTTTCTAAAATCTTGTAACATTCTCCTTATTCGGGGAAGCTTTCAAAATCTTATTTATCTATCGTGACATAAAATTATTTGTTTAAGATTCATCTCTCTCTCTCTCTCTCTCTCTCTCTCTATATATATCTCTCTCTCTCTCTCTCTCTCTCTATATATATATATATATATATCTCTCTCTCTCCCTCCTCCATCAATAATCTCTCCCTCTTTCTCACCCCCTTCCCTATCATCCCCTCTCTGTTTGCATAATTATTATCTCCCTACCTTGCTGTCACTTTCATGTCCTCTTAATTTTGGCGCGGTGCAGGCAGCGTGCCTCCTCGAAGTGGCCCCCTTGTCCCCTCACCCCAGTGCAGCCGCTGGCGACCTTATTTGGTAGCAAACGGCAGGCGAGCAGCTGCCGAGCACAGAGGCACGGGGGAGGCCCCAGCCTGGTGGAGGCCGCCCCGATCGAGATGGGGAGGGTCACCGAATCCATCCCTTGTCAACAAAAGAAAGAGAGAGAGAGAGAGAGAGAGAGAGAGAGAGAGAGAGAGAGAGAGAGAGAGACAAAATTGTTTTTAACGCCATCAAGTAGAAATCATCATCCCAAGCATGTTCTTATACGAACCCAATATTTATTCGTATGTATCTTTGGAAAGCACGAATATACCATTTACTGATATAGAGAAAATACAAATTAAAACGACTTTGAAATGAAGCCCCGTTGATACAAAATCCTAATATTTATTCGTACAATGTACCTTTGAAAAACGCCTTATGGTATTACTATGTACTGATATATAAAAAAATACGAATTAAAACGACTTTGAAATGAAGCCCCTTTGAAAACTACCAAATATTTATTGGTATGTATCTTTGGAAAGCTTTTACATTATACTTTGTACTGACATTGATATAGAGAAAATTCGAATTAAAATCAATTCAATTCAATTTCAATATATTTGCTCATAAAAATCCAGAAAACACATGCAAACATTCATAAATCAACATGATAACAAGGGTAAAATTCACAAGAAAAATTAATAACAAAGTATACATTTGGATTAAGTATGAGAGGGACAGCAAGAAAGGAACAAGCCATGTGATTAGCTGACCCTGTAACATAATACATTAAGGACGCTACAAAAAAATAACAAATCACTTACAACAACATAAAAGGGGGGGGGGGTATGCCTATACATTTAAACAAACAAACTTGGTGAATACCTGTCTAAAATGAAGTGCCTAGATTTTGACTTAAAAACATTTAACGAAACTGATTGTTTAATATCTGAAGAAAGAGAGTTCCAGATTTGGGGTTCCTGAAATAATATTGAGTTTTTAAAAGATGAGAGCCTCGGTTTGGGTAAATGAAAATCATTAGCATTTCTTGTATTGTATCCATGATATTCATTATTGAACTGAAAGAATGTTTTAATATAGTCTGGCAAGAGGTGATTGTTACATAAGTATAAGTACCTGAAATACATACATATCATGAAATTTCAAAACACCTGATTCAATAAATAAAGGGTTGGTATGGGCAAGGTAAGGTGCATGAGACATATTTCGTATCGCACGTTTTTGTAAAATAAACAATCTATCAATGTGATTATTACTTGCATTACCCCAGACAAGAATACCATAATTAAGGTACGGATATACAATTGCATAATAAATCATTTTTAAAATCTCCTTTGGAAATGATCTTAAACAATACATTATTCCTATATTTTTTGCCAGCTTATTGCACAGACTATCAATGTGATTTTTCCATGTAAGTTTATGATCTATTGTAATGCCTAAAAAGTTTACTGACGTTACACACTTAATATCTGTATTGCACACTCTAATTGAAAGATAATCTGGTATAAATAAATTACTAAAAGTAATATAGCTGGTTTTTGCTACATTGATTATCATTTTATTTGCATAAAACCACTCAGATATTAATTCAAGTTCAGAATTGAATAGATTATGTAAGTCCTGACAGTTAGGATGGGATAAAAACAGACTGGTGTCGTCAGCAAACATAATACAATGTAATAATTTAGATACTTTACTAAGGTCATTTATAAATAAAAGAAACAACAGTGGTCCTAAAATAGAACCCTGTGGTACCCCACATGAGAAAGTCCCTTGCTGTGATTTGCATTTAGAAATTTTAACATATTGTTTTCTATTTGATAAATAACTTTCAAATAATTTAAGTACAATACCTCTTATGCCATATAATTCAAGTTTGTGTAATAAAATAGCGTGATCTACTGTATCAAAAGCCTTCTTCAAATCTAAAAACATTGCAATCATATATTTCTTGTTATCAAGAGCATTAACAACAGTGTGAACAAAATCAATAAGAGCCGATGACGTCGAATGTCCAGGACGGAAACCATATTGGTTCAAAGATAATATATTGTACTTGCTTATAAAATCAAATAATCTATTGTACATACATTTTTCTAAAATTTTAGAGAAAATTGGCAAGACTGATATGGGTCTGTAATTTGCAACATTTTCACTTGAACCATTTTTATATACAGCAACCACACGAGCAATGACTTTACTAAGGTAAAGGACGAGCAAATGACATTTCAATGACTTTGAAATGAAGCCCCGTTGATAAAATAAAATCCTTATTTGAGGTCACTTTTGTTCATAATCATGCTCAATCTGTATTTTTGTAATTTTATTTTTTAGGAACATAAAATGGGTCAGGGTGCAGTCTTGTAGGGCTGCACGTTCATAAGATGTGGATAATCATTAAAGTGCTAACATAGGCTATTATGTACATGATGTATACTGTTATAGGGATTTCGTGACTGCTTTCAATTGTTATCTCACTATTTTTCAGTTTGATATACGTAATAGTACATGTACAATGTTTGATACAGTTATGCTTGTAACGTTGCATAGTATATAGAGAATGAAAAGAATGAATGGGTCTGATAAAAATGCAAACAAAATTAATAGAGAGTTATGGAAGAGAATGAGGTAGAGTGAGAGACAAAAAAACCCGGAAACATACACAGGAATACACAGGAAATAGAGGAAGCAGGGGGCACAAAAAGAGACAGACATATAGATAGACATGCAGAGAAGGAGAAGAAGAAAGAAAGAAGAAGAATATGTTTAGGAAAGCTTTATGCGATACAATCATTATATTCTCTTGTATCCCGTGCAAAATAGTGTAAGTGTTATAACTCATAAGGCGTCTTAAATATTAAAGAAGTGGAAGAAAAAGGACATGAAAAGTAGAACGATCGAGGGACGATGAGTGAGAAAGGGAGAGACAGACAGAAAGAGTGGATGAGAGAGAGAGAGAGAGAGAGAGAGAGAGAGAGAGAGAGAGAGGTGTGTGTGTGTGTATGTGTGAGAGAGAGAAAGAGAGAGGGAGAGGGGGAGGGGGTGGGGTGAAAATATGGGGTGGGGGACAGCACTGCTAATGACCTTTAAGATGCCTAAAGGGTGTACATCAGCTCCCATTCAATCTCATTGTAATGATCGAGCTTTCCAAGTTATGATAATAATAACTTTTGTCATAACATTATACACGCGTATAGGCCCATACATTCATCATTGTTTACTACAGCTATATAGGGGGCATTTACACAGATCCGTGTATTGAAATATTGTGTACTGTAATTCCTGTATATGGGTAATACTTTGTTATGACCCTCATAATACAAGAATTGGAATTTATTCGCCATAATGAGCATTAAACCTCATTCCTGATCATGGCTATTATATTGGATGTGGGTATAATACTGGAATAATTTGAAAATACACACCCTGTCAAATTCTCGGAAAACAATAAAATGAAAATATAAAAGGCTAATAGGACACTATGTAATTCAATTCAATGTATTTATTATTTTGTCCAATATTACATTTACTTGTATGAACACTGGACGATGCGAAGGGCCTCACCGAGACGCGAAAACGTGATCACTCAATACGGAGCTCAGCTCAAGCTCCCAGAATTCGTGGTACGAGTTGGACACCATTTTTTATTGATGAACTAATCAGCAGAAATTTGCCCCATCACAATAATCACGGACTTGTGCCCAAGTAATCATGTTTACAGCACCACGACCAATACTATCGCAACTGTTTTTGAAAAATCAGCCAAGGCAGTTTTAATGGCCTGGTACTTCACCTTTTAACATTTGCTTACATAACATGACGTCATAATTAATCCAAAAATGATTTCTATGAGATGTGTATACAATATGGTAAATTGAAATTGCGCTTGAGTTGGATTTTTGAAAGCAGTTGCGATCGTTTTCTGTTTGGTGTTTGTTTCTTTATCGTCCTTTTCCTCTCTCGGCGAGATCAATTTTAATATTCAGAGATTGTGGTCCACACTCTTCTAATTCAGTTAAACCCGACCCTTGGTTCATTATAAAGTCACGTTTAACAAAAGAAAACTGAGACCTTAGATTAATTTCCTTGTAAAAACCCGAATTTGAACAAACGCTTTACCCAAACGTTGGCGTTGAATTCGCATATAATATGGGATTTTGACATTGCTATAATTTTACCATTCTTAATCATTTCTCTTGATAGGACGAGACATCACTCTCAAGCGCCGACACTGAAATCAGTGACCCCAGCCTTCTATCCGAAACAAGTGCCTCACAAGCTGTAGAAGGGGTCACCACTCCAGCTGAACCTGATAGACTTAGTCCACAGCCGCTAGATCTTAAAAAAGGTAAGTAAACAAACAATAATTTATTTAATGCATGAATGAATGAATGAATGGACAAATGAATACATAAATAAAATAATAAATAAATACATATGACAGATATGTACAGATTATTGAGAGAACAGATAAGAGATATTTTATTATCGAATTGCCAAACGTTTTTCTTATGCATGAAAGGGGTTGTCTTAACTTTTAAATAGTTATGAAACAAAAACAGCAAAGGATCTTGTGAGCCTTAGGAAACAGATTAACAAAAAACAATTAACGAACACAAAACGACATAGTACATTCATTATAGGTCTACATGCGAATGGATTGAAGAAGACAGAGAGAAGGGAAAAGAGGGACGGGGTAAAGGAAGGGTGCATCAAGTCCACATTATTTATTTTAAGAACACAATTACCAACTCATTAACAAAGGGCTGAAACATATACAACTCACAAACAGGGAGTCCTATCTATTGTAATCCAAGCTTGCCCTTGGAGTAACAATAAACAATAACAACATCAGTAACATTAACCTTCAAAAAGAAAACACACACTTTCTCCTTCAATCATGGGAGGTACAAGAACACATAGCTACCCTCAAAATCTAAACTGAGTTATGACATACAGTACCTCAAATTACAAGCAGAATGGGCCCCCTTCATTACAGAGGACCCTCCTCAGTCCAGGGTAGAAAGCAAATCAAAAGAAATGACTTAATACATCTTGGGGCCCAATCCGCGAGCGCGCTATATGATGCGAGAGGGTTGGACAGAGATGCATTTATCCTTTTTATGATTGATGATATTTTTATTTTTATACTAAGGCCGAAGTAGTTTGTACGGAGAAGGGGTTACATTTCCTTCGCAGCCCCCCGTCCAGCCCCTTTTGATACATAGACTAGTGTTTGTGAATAGTATAATGATGAACTATGGCGAAGTGTGGGTCCAGAAAAATGAGGGTGCATCGTTCGTGTCGGTAGGTGGGGGGGGGGGGGGGGTGCAGGATGAAAGGCAAATCTGCATGATATCTATCGTATCTTCAAAGGAAAAGGATTGCTGGAGAATAAATCAAGCTATAAAAAGATATTAAGAACATGGACAGTAACGATAACAATTGCGAGGAGAAGAAGAAAAGAAAAAAAAGAGGTAGAAGAAGAAGAAGAAGAGAGAAAGAAGAATATGTTTGGGAAAGCTTTATGCGATACAATAATCACTTTCTAATTTTTATAACTCATAGGGCTTCTTTAATAAGCATACACATACAAGCTTTATTGAAAATGAGTAGGATATGCTTTAAGACCGGTGACGGGTTTGCGTTTTCAAGAAATTAGTTGCAGATTGGCAAAAATTCTTAAATTGCGATTGGCATACTGATGAATTTAATCGTTCTGCAGAGAGTCTATATCTTCATCCGAGAATCTGTAACCTCTGGGTAAAATCCGAGTGCCCCACATATACTGTTCGTGAGGGATCCCGCGAAGACTTTGGCTCAATACCCCCAACCCTTCCAGGGTAGGACTATCCCGCACCCCCTCAATCGCCCCTAGGGTGCCTCAGCGTACCCCTAAGGGTACCCCAGTGTGCCTCCTGGTACCCCTAGTTTGCCTCGTTAGTACCCCCTTCACGCCTCATGGTACCCCTATTAGCAATTCCGTGAAGGGGGTCCTCCTATTAGAGGGGTCCGCGGAAGGGTGGGGAATAATGAGCGAGTAGAATCTATGTTCTCTCTCTCTCTCTCTCTCTCTCTCTCTCTCTCTCTCTCTCTCTCTCTCTCTCTCTCTCTCTCCTCTGTTGGCACATAGTACTGCCCCTGATCAAAACTTGACTGATTTTTGTCAAATGATGTACGGAATACCCTCTGTTACCCCCTTTTATTAAAACATTTTCTTTGGTAAGGTTTTTCACCTCCCATTCTCCGGGGCATGACATGTACAAATTTAGGTTACTAATTCACAATCACTCTAGATTGGGTTTCTCCTTGAATCCTTTATCACAATCACGTAACTATTTTGAGTTCACTAATCGCTAATCGGTATTCGAAGGGAGTATTTCATCCCTGTCATCAACCGTATACTGTACATGTAGGTGGTACCAAGTTGTGTATATAAAAGGGGGTACGGTACATGTGCCCCCCCCCCCATCAAATGACCAAAAATATTAAATGAAAAGTAAGAAAAAGAGGAGGGGAGGGGAAATGGAGTATTAAAACAAGAAGGCTTTTCGACCCCCTCCCACACTCTCCCTCTTACTAAAAAAAAAAACCTTGTCCAGTTGCATTTTATCCTCCGAGTTAAGACCAGTCCCCCACCAGTAATAATGGTGCCCCCTTCATGCCTGGATCCACGCTACGCCACTGGTGGTACCCCCTTGCTGCCCCTACCCATCCTAGGTCTGCCCATCAACATGGCACGCGTAGGTGAAAGGACCTTGGGTTGTCGTCGAGAGGGGCCAACAAAGTGTGTCTGGGGCACTTACGAAAGGAGACAACATCCAATGTAGATTTTCTTCGGAGAATTCCAGTTTTCAATAGGGGGTGGGGGGGGGGGCTTGAATTTGGTAATCTAGGCAAAATTTGCCATTAACTATAAGACCGTTCTCAAAACCATTTTTTCTGAAATTTCGTGCCAGCTTCATTGCCTTGGAAGGAAAGCCATTGCTTAAACATGCCAACAGAAGTCGACATCTGACATTGTTTGTGAAATATGAAATACATAAACATATCCATATGCTCCATACAGTCAAACATCAAACACTCATCAATGCAGTACACATAGGCATCTTCAGACCGTTTTATTAACCGATGGAAGGGGGCGGGAGGGGGAGGGGTTGAGTGTTAGACCAATCGTGACAACAACTTCAATAAACATTTTCGAACAAGAAACAAGTAGAACCTATTCGATTTGCTCACATGGCTACAACTACACATTACACATTTTCTGGCAAAAACTGTCTTATGTGGTTGGGGGTAGCCTATACCCATCACCACCCCCCCCCCCCCTTATCGATGCCCCTTGCAGCAGATAGGGTATTGCAGATTGAGTCGTCACCGGGGAAAGTATACATTGCAATCCTATACACGACAGAATAAGATATCTTTCTATTTATTCTCACAACAACCCACTCGATACCGCGTGTAGGGATAGATGATCCAGTATGTTGTTAGGATTTGAGGAAGTAAATCGGGGATGTTTCTCTCGCCCAGTGCCGAGTTTCCTGCTTTAAGTTCATGGCATGGCACCTTGAGCGGAAGAGAAAGCGAGGGTATTTATTTATAGATAAACTCCAATATAACTATATCTTCTCTGGAATCAACTACTTATAAGTTTTAATCAGACAATGAAGACGCAAAGAGGCACCGGAATATTATTCTCAATGGACTTCATAAGGCTATAATTCAAAGAATAATGATATCCACGTTTATGTAATTAATGTTTGCACTTGCCTATGTAGCTACACGACTGATATTACTACTATTTATAATGTTGGCTAAATAAATAAAATTAAACAGATTATTAAACGCAATTTGCGAGACTGGAAAATACTTACATGTTTAGCAGGGGTTGGAATTTCACTTGTCCTATCAATTATTTAGATCTTCGGAGCGGGTAGGCACAAACGGCTAGTGACTCCTCCCCTTGTAGAGACTCCTCCCCTTTTAGAAACTCAGTCGGCATACCCAACAGAAAGATATGCTCTGTGGCCTTAGTTATGTAATTTGTCAACGAAGGGGCGGGGATGTTCCTTTTTAAAATAAATTCCTTGGAATATCATTTTGTAATCATCTGACCAGTTTGCATGTTCTTTGGGGCTACAATTTCGTGTGTTGTGTTCGGGAGGGAGTTGTTCCTTTACCCCCATTTTCCTACCTCGGAAATATTTCCCAAAAAAAAGATCTTTCACACAACATCCTGTTATGTATCACCTGACATCAAAAATGACCAACAGTTTGTCTATGTTGTGCAATTTGTTCTGTATGTTGTACTGATGGATTTATTCAATAGAGGGCAATAGCATAGCTGCCAAACATTCCAAATTTTTAGGAATGAGAGGGGGGGGGGGGGGAGAAGCTAAAAAAAATCCTGTGTTTTATCGCTGTGCTCGTTTGTTGTCCCTTTAGGCCTATACTTCATTTTTGTCCTACCTCAAAAATATATTTAACAACATCCCCTGTTTAATCACGTGACCTATCTTATGACTACCAGGGGAAATCATGAAGGAGACTGGCAGCCAGGGGACCCACACCCCCGACGAACACGGGAGATCATCCGCAGAGCCTGACACACAAGCCAAGACAGATTCAGCGTCCAAATCATCAATAGCGAGGGCACCCCCGGATGTGACCGCACCAAGCCAAGTTTTCGGGGTAACGTAAACTTTTACCGTTTCTTTCTTTCTCCTTTCTTCCTTCCTTCCTTCCTTCCTTTCTTTCTTTTTATATTTTATTTTCCTTTGTCTCTCTCTTTATCCTTCTCTCTTTCCAATATTCCCCCTCTCTCTCTCTCTCCCCCCCTCTCTCTCTCTCCCCCCTCTCTCTCTCTCTCCCCCTCTCTCTCTTTCTTTCAGTCTGTTTCTGTCTCTTTCTTTAAAGAATAATGATAAGAATAGTACAGAATGCCATGCTAAAGCCAATTTTATCTTGTTGTCTGAGACTCTATTTTTTGTACCCGCACATTATTTTTGTCTTGAATTTCAGTTGTATGAGGGTTCACAATAATTGTACCTATTCGGCTTGAATACCAACTCTGACTGCATGGCTCAAATATGACTTGCTCAGTGAAGCTGGAATTCAGAAGAAGAAAACAAATTTGAGGAAGATTATAAACGAAATTAAAGTTGTGATTTAAACAAGCGAGAGAAAGGAATTAAAAAGATGTTCAAACAAATCAGACAACTCATTAATTCAAATTAATGGCTGGTTGGTAAATACAAATAAATTGCAAGTCGGTCTTTATTTGTTGACGTCATTCTGTTACTATTCAACAGTTGTACTGAACATTTTACAACATCAGGTTATCAATATCCACTTTTATCTCGTTTGGGACTTTACCTAAAATATAATAATCGTAACATGTTGTTTTCATTGAATATTCTTATTTTATTTCAGAAACATTTTGATAGACTTGTAAATTGAGAATATGTATTTAGAAATATTCAAACTCCCCAAAATACCCCAGAATGAGCTTCGTATTGCACTGTCGTATTATCGACATTTACTTTCCTTTCAGGCAAAAGTAAGTTTGCTTGCTTCTAATCTGCCAAATGTTTTCAGCTCCACAGTCACATTAAAGAAATGAAGCAGGCTTGAACGAATCATTCTAATCACTCTTTTCTTAATGCTTTGATAGAAAGCAATCCATGCAGGCCTTTTCTTGGCCGTATTATTTCCTTCTCCTTGTCCAACCCCATTGTTCCTGTCTATATTTGTATCCATGCAGTCTAAAATAAAGAAAAATGACTCATATCATTTTAAATATCTCATCGTCATATAGAGGGAAATCACCACACATATACACTCACGTGATTATGAATAATAATCAAGTATTGGTACATTATCACTTGGGTTGAGTATGCGCATTTGTAGTATTTGTAAGAGTTTGCACACTGCATGTGAAGTCATTAACAGAAACACAAGTCACATCTTTAAATGGCTTGTATTGAGTAATAGTGAGAGTTACGAAGTTGTCTTATACTAGTAAGCGAATATTCAGAAATACAAAGATAACTGCAAATACGATGCCTTCTCTTTTGGTGAGACTTAGATGAATAAAATTGACTTGCCGCAGTTAAACAAGACATTCAGATATGTCTTGGTTATATTCATCAACAAATAAAACATGTTGAGCTACCCTTTAACATGTATTTTAGTGATTTTCGTCTTCTTTTCCTCTTCTTCTGCTCCTTCCTTTTCTTGCTTTTCTTTTCCTTCATCATCTTCTTTTTCGTTTTTCTCCTCTTTTTTGTGTGTGTTTGCTTGTTCTTCCTCCTGCTTCTTCGTCCTCATGATCATCATCACCACCACCACTATCATCATCATCTTTACTCCCATCTTCTACCCCTCCTTCCCCTTCTTTTTTAACTCGAGAATAAATGAAGAATAACTTGAAACATTTTCTCTGCATTTACTTACTCTAGCCGGCAGCGAACGGGTACGGGTACAGCCTTCTGGCGGCTGCTGCTGCCGCTGCGGCGTCGGGGGAATCGAGTCGAGAGACGCCCGAAGATCTCACAATCAAAGACGAAGACGACGACGACGATGGAGACGATGACAGTGATAAGATGGGCGAAACCGCCCCCGGCGTCGACCCCGAGAGGTTGAAGGCATTTAATGTGAGTATCCAATCCATTTGGGCTAGGACGGGGAAGTTTTCAAGACAATCGAAAAGTCTTTCGAAAAATCAAATGAAATTCCAGTATTCAATTATTGTCTGTCACATCGAAATTTTGCTCTGATAATAATGTTAATGTTATGTTCACACATTTTCAATACTAGCAGGTGACGGACAAGGCTATTTTATTGCAATAAGTTGATTTTTGGACAGTCATTTCGATCATGATTTTTTTTTCTTCGAGCCAGTCGTCATGGTCATATGAGTGATTGACTCATTTGTGTGTTAAAGCCCCTCTGCACTACTTATAGCTACTTGCGCCCTCTATATAGCAAACAATACCAAATCGGTGACCATTGGTCCCATTTTTCTTAAGTTGATTGAGAGCTGATTTGATGAGATACCATCTGTCAGTGACCATGCAGGGAGGTCTAATCCCTCCTGGCCAAACTAGTGCAGACAGGCTTTAAGTTCCCCAAGCCATTGGTTGTGTTACATTTTGTTATTTCATCAGGGGTGTAGCATGAGCCTCAGACATTTAAGGGGCACTAAAATCATGGGGGTGGGCAGGGTTTTCAGTGTGTTTAGGTGGGTTGAATGCAAACTAACAAAACCATTGCTTAGGAATGGATGTGGAAAAGGGTCCTTTGGTTTTATATTCATTTTTGCTTTCTCCTGTCAATTGCTTCCTCATTTACTCCCTCTTTTTGTTTTGTTTTGTTTTGGTTCCCATTCCGTGGATGTGGGGGGGGGGGGGGGGGAGAGACAGGTGCCCTCGTGCCCCTTTGTAACTACCCCCCCCCCCCCCCATTGCTCTTCATGATAACAAAGACAATCATGGAAGTTTTAAAACTACTTATTGCATTTGAATAATTTGCCCAAATCGTTAGAGTGCTATAACAGGAGTTCAATATAGAAATAAACAGTCTCTTGAAATGTTCCCAATAACTGAAACTTATATTTCATGCATCCCTTCAAGAAGGATGTGTCCATAAAGTTCGTGGGGAATAACTCAAATAGTTTATTTTAATCCAGCACCCACATTATATTATTAATACACAGGAAAACGCCTCGGTTGTTTCGACATGTAGCATTCAATAGAGGATATGATGTAGACTTACACACCCCCCCCCCCCTCTCCCTCTTCACTATCGAAAGTTTCACCACAACGGTACTACTGCCAGTTTAAAAAAAATGATATTGGGTACGTCTCAGGACCGAGTTACTTCCTTGTATACCGTGCCATTCCAACCGCAATGAACTTCACATATTAATGGTGCATGTGTAGTCCTATCAAAAGCCATAGCTATCAATCGTGTGGTTCTATAAGTATCAATATATATAGCTGTACGCTCTCTCACTGTGCCGTTTGTTTCTGAGAGAAAGAGAAGACTTTCTCTTTGGTTTATCCGGCAGAGATGACGAAGAATCTTGATTTGTCCGATCCCTCGCCCCCACTCTATGTATATGTATGGCTTCTCCTCTCGACAAGCTTGATGGTATAATTATATATATCATATGAATTATGACGTAGCTTTGGTCCAGGCATCGATGGGGATATGTTTGATTGGAGGGGGGGTTTGCAAGGGGCATAGCAACCTTATTTAGACCACATTTATTCCCCCCCCCCCCCTCTTCCTTTCTTTCCGTCACTTTATCTCCCGCTGTTTTAACCACTCAGTGAATGGGGGGGGGGGGGGTGGCACCCTCTCGCCCTTTTCTACACCTCTGTATATAAATAATATATAAAAGCATATTATTGGAATGAACAGACGAATGATGTACTTCCTCAGCGTAGTGATACTGTCTTAAAATAAAATAGAATGTAAGGACTTTGAAAAAAAAATAGAAAATGAAAATGATATGATTAAGGTGACAAAGGCAAAATAGATGGTTCGGAAAATCGGGACGTTCGCCAATATCAGCAATAACTCAAACGATTATTGTCGAGTAGGTGTGTGTGAGTGTAAGAGAGACAGAGAGAGAGAGAGAGAGAGAGAGAGAGAGGGAGAGATTGAGAGCGAGAGAGAGACAGACAGAGAGAGAGAGAGAGAGAGAGAGAGAGAGAGAGAGGGGGGGGGGGAGAGGGGTTGATCCGTGGGCGTGTGAAGTGGAAATGAAAGTCATTAACTAACATGATGGATAGTGTCATTATTTAATCAGGCACCACTACCACGCTCCAAGTCACGTGATAAGCCACGTGACTTGTCCATACCTATTGATCACCTTAGCATGGTTCAATGTCCTCCTGGCGTAACAATAATCAACGGGAGAAATAGGGAAAAAAATTAAATAGAAGATGTACGAAGAAAGAGGAGAAGAAACACCGAATTGTTTTGTGGCAAATCTTTTTTTCTTCATTTCTTCATATTTTTTTTTTTTTTTTTGGTTCTATCATACCTGAAGTACACAGCCCTAGCTCAAGGGGCAGTTTTTAAAACTGTAGACCCTTAAACATGCATATTTGCCTAATAATGTATGTAAATCCATGTTACCACCACCACCCCCCCCCCCCCAGCCATTTGCTTTTCTACAATCAATAATGATCGTGTTTTGTTTGTTTTAATATTGTTGTATTTTTGGTTAATGTGTTTTGCTAGGTTATTTTCTTCGGGTAAATTATTTATGAAAATGAAATTGAACAGCTTTTCCCATCTTCAGATTTGGAATGTGAAAGTACCTGCATTGTAACTCAGATGAGGGGAGGAGGGGGAGGGGTGATTGATAGTATATTCATGAAGAGGAGAGAGGCGACGAGAAGAGTTGATCACGAATAACCACGAAATATTTATAGAATACCTACAACATTCCAATTATTAGGAAAATCGTCCAGTTGTCCCATGAGTATTAACGACTATCTCTGCATGAATAAAGAGGACGTTTTCCTTGTGTTTTTTTAAAATAATAAATACATTGGCAAATTCCAGGGATTCAATATATTACATTACAACAGCTACATAACTCTTTGCTATTCATCTCACGGGGAACTTTACCATTCATCAAGTCAAATACTAGACTAAGACCATGGCAAAAGTTAATGAATGTCTATTCATAGGGGCAGACGGAGGTGGGGGCGGGGGCTCACGTGAATAATGATATATTTATTACGCATATAGACTTTATACACAATAGAAATCAAAAGGTTGAGTTGCTTCACTCTCGGTAAGTACGTCTACGTGACCGGCTTTCACTTCCTTATGGGGCGACTCCATAGGTTTACCCACCGTTTACTGATTGAAAGAAAGAGGGGAAAATTGTCTTCCTTATGGTTATGCCATACTCTTGTAATGCGATCTTGCTTTTCTAAAGGTTATGAGAAAGTACTGTACTTGTGTAGAACATTTAGTTGGGCAGATTCAGATCCAACTACCCCGTAGACTAACAGGGCAGTCAATATTTCATTATCATATTCCTTTGATGAAATGACGTCACAATGAAATAGTTCAGAGCGCAAAGCACCAATCTTAAATTGTGTATTATTTCCCCCCCCCCCCCCCATAGTTTAAAGATGAATTGATCGCCCGTGTTTGGTTTTGACGAGGCCTCAGATGTTATTCATCATAATGAATTTACTTTATAGGTAGCAAGAAACTCCTAATTTCTCTGCTGATTTTTTTCTGGGTTTATTATGTAAAAATCAATATTGATCAAGATTATACGTTTCGGTTAGAACAAAAATCACTACAGGTGATCCTTTCCCAGGTTGAACCTTTTAGAATGTTCTCTAAAGTGTAGGGAACTGGTGTTTGCTTTAAACTGACATAGCACCAACAGCTACAATATTATTGTCGCATAAACAATTTGGGACTGGCATTTACGTATGGAAATGCGTCCACGGAAAATTAAGGAGGAAATATGAAGCACTTGGTGGGTAGGATAGCGTGATGTTCTCGTTGAAAGGGAACCCTTACCATGCCTATAATTGGGACTGCATAATGATTGTAGGGCCGCCACTTCCTTGTTTCGTTATGAATAAGTGGTTACTTTTGGTAGGGGAGGGGCAGAGAGAGAGAGAGAGAGGGGGAGAGAGAGAGAGAGAAAGAGAGAGAGAGAGAGAGAGAGAGTGAGAGAGAGAGAGAGAGAGAGAGAGGAGGGAGAGAGAGAGAGAGAGAGAGAGAGAGAGAGGGGGGGAGAGAGAGAGAGAGAAGAGAGAGAGAGAGAGAGTGAGAGGGAGAGAGAGAGAGAGAGAGAGGAGGGAGAGAGAGAGAGAGAGAGAGAGAGAGAGAGAGAGAGGGGAGACGCGAAGAGATACGGGGAGAAGGGAAGGGGGATATAGTGGACGAAGTGCAGAGAGGGTGAGAGAGACGGACAAACACAAAGAGAAATTAATAGAGTTTTGAAAGGAGAGGGGAGAGGAAAGACAGGCAGACATAGTCACTCAGAGAAAAAAATTAAGGCAGAGGGAGAGAGAGAGAGAGAGAGAGAGAGACGAGTAATGATACGGGGAGAAGGAAATGGGGGAGTAGTGGAAGAAGTGCAGAAAAGAGAGGGGAGAGGAAAGACAAGCAGACAGAGACAACAGATGGCGGAGAGAGAGGGAGAAAGAGAGAGAGAGAGAAAGAGAGAGAGAGAGAAAGAGAGAGAGAGAGAGAGAGAGAACGAGTGGTTGCGTGTCGGGGGGGGGGGGGGGGTGGGTGATACGTGTATAGAAAGAAAGAGAGAGAGAGAGGATAAATGATTGCATGTTTAATTTGGCGTGTGTATGAGGAAAGAGACAAATGGTATCCGGTTTTAAATATCATACCTCTCTTTTAGCTAAGAGCTTATACATCTATCTTGTCTCATTAAACCATGTAGGTGTCAAATTTAATGAAAAATTGTTATCATAACATAGAAGAAAATTCACACAATCATGTAAATGTCTATGATGCCATGCGCATAACGTTTGAATGCAGAAAAGATCGCATATATCATGTAGCAAACATACATAATGAGATGAACTGTTTTGGTATCAGGTCGAATCGTTTTCTTATTTGCTCTTTCTCAAATCGACCTTGCATTTTGGTCAACACTACACCTGATTTTTTTTTGCTACACATAAAACTGTGAATTCGAACAAATTTGTAATGTGGAGTTTTGTCTGAATATATTTGTCACAATTTTTATGATACTTTTACAAGACAATTCAAACAAAATGAAAAGTACATTTTTACTTTAACCATGTTCACGAAAACATATTGAAAACAAGGCAAATTGTGTTATTCCAAAGTAATATTTGGTTTCTTTTTATGACGTTAAACTTTTTCATCCGATGCAGATGTTCGTCAGATTATTCGTGGACGAGAACCTGGACCGAATGGTTCCGATCTCAAAACAACCCAAAGAAAAGATACAGGCCATTATTGAAGCCTGTTACCGACAGTTTCCGGAGTATCACGAACGAGCCCGAAAGAGAATCCGAACCTACCTCAAAAGCTGTCGGCGAATGAAACGCCAACGGGACCAAAATGGGCTGGACTCGGTATGTATTTGCAAGAAGAAACATCTTCAGATAACAAAAACTTTGTAATATCAGAATAATTATGTTGGTTTCTCGTGGATTGTTTAATGGTTATGACTGAGTACAGCCACAACCATGATATTTTAGAAGCATCTTCATGTGGCGTTAAAAAAAAGATAGGAAAAAAAGAAGGAGGTGGAGAAGGAGGAGGAGAAGAAGAAGAAGAAGGAAAAGAAGAAGAAGATGAAGAAGAGAAGAAGAAGAAGAAGAAGAAGAAAGAAGAAGAAGAAGAAGAAGAAGAAGAAGAAGAAGAAGAAGAAGAAGGAGAAGAAAAAGGAGGAGAGGATGAGGAGAAGGAGGAGGAGAAGAAGAAGAAGAAGAAGGAGGAGAGGATGAGTAGAAGGAGAGGATGAGGAGAAGAGGAGAAGACAAATGTGGCTGCTCAATTGCTCCAGCAATCTGATTTTTGTTCCAATGTTCAGCTTCTCCTCATAAAGTGTGTACTTACGAAAGGTAAAACAAACCACCAACCATCTCGAATATTACCCATCCTATGTGTCGACCCCACCCCACCCCTGCCACCCTTTCTCCCCTATCAACCCACCTTTATGTATAATAAAATCATTTATCAACCTCATCTCCATTTTTCACCCCCATGCAGTCATTAAGACCCACTCCGCCCCATCTCACCTCAGCTCGGGCCGAACACATTCTAGCCGCCGCGTGTGAGAGTGAAAGCGAGAACGCTAAGAGGTTACGTCTAGAGCTCATGCAGGCAGGCCACACAGTCACTTCAGTATCTTCAGTAAGTGTTTATTCAATTCTTCCTCTTCTGTTTTTTTTTGTTTTTGTTTTTTTGTTATGTATTTGCACCACTTTGAACACATATTTTCTCATTTTTATTTCACTGTTTATGCTTTTGCACACATCAGAAATAAGAAAATAAAAGTTATGTAAAACAGGAAAATACATGCGGTCAATTTTAAATGTGATAGGGAAAGTATTTTACAAAAGACATTAAATCTTGTACTTTTTCACATTAATACAGTTAGTACGCCATGTTACTACAACTTACATTTCTTTTATAAATATAATGCTTCCTGGGAGAAATTTCAATTTATTTAAACATATTTGTTACATTTCGATGTGATGCACGCTGTCCTGTGTTTGTATTTTGTTTTTAGTTAGGGTGAGAAGTTTTCAAATAAAATGGAGAAAATAGTAAACAAAAATAGACAAGTGAGAACAAATTTAAATGGAAAACAAATACAGACAATTATAGTTATTTCAATTTCCAATCGTATTATCATTGTAGACACTATTATTTCATTGCATTGAAACCTTACTCATGACAATTCTATTTTCTATAGCTTATAAGAGCATAGATAATAATAGCCATGATTGGAGAATAGATTTGAAGTAAATGTAGAATTATTTGAATGTCATTTGAAGATTTAAAAAAAAAATCAGGACATGGATTTATTTTAAAAAAAACATAACACCAAGAATTAAGAATCCATACAAAACTTATTTATAAGGAGAGGCATAAATATCTAGTATGTAATCCAATGTTGCTTGTTAGCGATACTACAATTCGAAGACACTATTCTTTCTTCTAACTAATGACTTGTTTTTTCATGTAGAATAATGGATGTTGTATTAAACCAGTCCTGGTTCTTCACACATCATTTTCTGTATGGCTTCTAACGATCACTCACGTAATCACGTTATCACGTTTGAGTACTTTCGTAGAACTATCCGATCTACTAAGTGTTGGGTTACAATGTTGAGTACATGACCCAACATTTCGTTGAAATACTATTGTAAAACACGGATAGTGATGGTACTTGACGCAGATGTTAACAAAATAAATAGAAATGGTCACTGAGAAGCGAATAACTCGAAAGAATCATGCGTGAATCTAAAGGCTGGACCCTCCCCCGTACCACCGCCCCCAAAGAGCTTGGGGAATCCGGCAACAGTTCCCAGTCTGTCCGCACAGCGTATGCAAATTAGCTGATTTAATACGCCGATCCTTTTCAACTTCTCGAACGCCGTTACCAGCGCATATCCCGCTCTCGGAATTCGCGAGATTTAGTGACGTATCTGCCTCGCCCACCCATCCAAGACGATAACCCAGATAAGAGTACATGTAAACCTTTAAAAAAGGGAGGAAATGAAATATACGTAATGACTAGTCTCAATGACAAGCACTTTTGTTTTCAAGTGGGGAAATGTAGGGGCAGGTACGACAAGAGTCACGTGGCGAAGGCCTACACGCAAAAGCGTGAGTATTCGTGATTTAATACCGGCCTGTTGAAGAAAAGAAAGAAAAACAAAACAGAAACGTGCAAATCCTATATTCCTTAAATTAGATAACTTGCATCTACGAAAGTGGTCAAAATGTGAAACGCGATTACGTGAGTGACGTTACAAGCCTTATTTTAACGAGAGAGAAATGTTGTATCCATAAATAAGTGTTTTTGACGTCTGAAATTATGTTTTTTCAAATTTTCTTCTTATATATTCTCACTGTGACAAGCACTAATTTTAAGAAATAAGGGGTGCGTTAAACAGGGATTAGAATCTTACTTATACATGTATACGTTTACATGAACTTATTTCTATCATTCCACTTATTTCATATGTGTGTGTTTTTGTTATAATGAAAAACAAATTATATGGTTGATATGATTATAATTTGTGGAATAAAGTTGAAGTAAATTTAATTCTTTGAAGAATGATTACATAAAAAAAAAACATGCCGTACAAGGTAAATAATGTATTTAGCTCAGGTCCACCTGGGTTTAGAATTTTCAATAAATGTAATGAAAAATGTGTAAATCTAACTCACATTCTCAGTAAGCCATTTGGCTTTTGAAAAGGTATACGTCATAAAAGCGTTTATAATGATGTGGTTTGTTTATCTGCCAAATCTAACAATTACGACGATAAAAGAACAAAACAGAACATTAAAGATAAAGACCAGTTATGGTCATGCGATTGCATTGTGAAAGAAACGTTGTGGAATCGATCAGAAAAGGTTGATCATCTAGCATATATTGGTGTGTACTGCAAGGTTCTAGAATCATCAAAATGATAAGAAATTTGGCCCAGTCTTCGTAAATTTACAAGCACTGTACACAGAAAGATGTATATGGGACTACGCACACGTGCGCGACACGTGCGTTTATCTCTCACACACCAATAGATAAACTAATTTACCAAATATATCAAATAGTAGGCGGTTTCCCGGCAAAATTTGTATCATCACGTATTAGTCAAAACATATTTATTCACATGATTGGTAATAAGAGCTTCCATTTCATTTTTTGAGGGGGCTAGGGGGGGCGTTTCCAAAACTGGTCTATACCTTTAAACACAAGTTAATTTCTTTTCTTTTTCTTTTTGTTACAGAGTGAATCGGTACGAGTAGACCAGCCTCAACATCGGGCCACGCCCCCTCACACGACACCTTCCAATCGGGTCGCGACATACTCCGATGAACCCCCCGCGAAGATGACGGCACGCCCCTCCGACTATCGTTTCAACGGAGTTGGGACGCACGACCCGTACTATGCCAGCATCGCCCCGCACCATCCGGTGAACGTGCTGCAGGCTACGCAACACGCTCAACTTACAAATGGTATGAAAACCGAAAACAATGTCCATTTGTATATTTTGATACGCCCCCATTATCTACTGCTGACCCTAAATCTTTTATCTGATATTTGAAGATATCTAAGACTCATTTGCATGTTCTTCTTTTCTTTAACCCACATGCTTTCTTATTCTCGTTTTTCTCCTCTTTCTCCTGCTCTTCCTCTTCCATATTGTTATTTGCCTCTTTTTCTTTCCTTTCATCTTCATTATCATCATCTCTCTTTTTTCCTAACTTTGCAACCTTTCTCTCTCTCAATTTCTCTCACTCTCTTTTTATCCTTCCATATATTTTCTTCTTTTTCTTTCTACTTCTTCCTCTTTATCATTCTCATATTATGATTATCATCATCAGTATTAATAGTTATCTCCATTTCATTGGATAAGATTGTGTGCCAAATAGATTTATGAATTTTGTTTCAGAAAGTATTCAAGTATGAAGTTTTTTTGGTACAAACACAAGCCTATTTTCTACATGTATATAGTCCTCATGTGTCTTTTTATTTCATTTTTCTTAGCTCTTGAATTGCATACAGGCTTTAATCAGCAACATGCTCAACTTACAAATGGTATGAAAACCAAAAATCACGTCCACTTTTTTTATCAGAAATACCCCCCCCCCCCCCCTTTTCGAGTTTGTGACCCTCAAATTATCATCTAAGACTCATTTACATGTTCTTCTTTTCTTTAATCCATGTGCTTTCTTCTTCTTCTTCTCCTCCTCCTCCTCCTCCTCCTTCTGCTCTTCCTCTGTCAAATTCTTACTTGCCTCTTAGGGGCCTCTTTGTTCTTTCATTTTATCTTCATTATTATCATCTTCTTCTTGAATGTTCCCTTTCTCTCGCTCTCTTTTTCTACTTCCATATCCATTCTTCCTCATTCTTCTCTCTGTCCTCCTCATAATATCATCATCATCATCAATATTAATTGTAATTTTCCTTTCATTGGCATATAGTATTTTTTGCCAAATAAATTCATTAAATTTGTTTCAGGAAGTATTCCAGTATGAAGTATTTTTGGTATGAATGCAATATCACCGCACCATCACAAACATAATCTTCTTTTAAACATGTATACAGTCCTAAGGTGTCTTTCATTTTTGATCTTTCCCTTAACTATTGATTCACAAACAGACTTCAATCAATTAACAGTTCATTATTAATATATAATTGTCATCTCTTTCTTATGTTTCCCTTGTAGGACCAACAGACCTTAGCGTTAAGAAGATGACTTCCAAAACGCAGCTTAGCCAGACGGAGGTAACCAACATACGGCAGCTCATCACAAGTTACCGGGAGTCGGCCGCCTTCCTCTATCGATCAGCCGATGAGCTAGAACAAATGCTGCTCCAACTCAACTGAAGCTACTCACCTTTTACTATATAGATACTCCAAATCACCTATTCCACATGCATCTAGAAACTATAGTGGTATATTTTTCAACAACAAAAGAAAGCCATAGTTTTGACCTTTTCCAAGTGTATGCTTGGTACATGTATATACAAATCCGGGAGGTTTAATTTTCCATTTACTGTTTCATAAAACTTGTTATCAATAAAAAGTTACAATAACTGCTATAAGCTACTGAAATCATTGAATTTGATTGGCTGTTGGCAATTTTTTCATAAAAATGAGGGTTTTTATTAATATCAGGTTTATGAAACCGGAATCTGTTACTTTTTCTGTTCTGAAACAGAGAGGGTATAAAAATATATCGGTCCTGATTAATTATTTGTTGATAAGTAAATCAACTATAACTTTCTCTTCATGAAACTCCGTCAAAACTTCCATTATATATTTTACAACTCATCTCAACATGAAATTCAGCCTCACTATATTTTAGAGGATGGATATTTTTATCTTTCCTAAAAATTTCTTTTAATAATATTTATTTAAAACAGTGTGGGCTAGGATGCCGTATTTGTCCTTGTTTTTATAAGGAGTGAAAATTCCTTATGCGTTATATTAAGATCATTTTGCCAATCATAATCTCATTTCAGTACAAGGCAATGCAGAAATACATGTAGCCCAGCAATGATGCTCTAGTGTCACTCCGCTGTTCATGATAGAAAAATGGCAAATTGGCAACCTAATAACGTTTAGAAATTGGCTAATTGGCAACTCAATAATGTTTAGGAATTACACACCGTGCCTCTTGTTTCATGATATGATTAGTTTAAAGGATCAAAATTTATAAGATATCTGACCCATACAAACCATGGTAAACTGGACAATCATCCAAAACAAGATTATGTCTCACATGATTTTTCAAAGCACAGGGATACATGTATATTGACACGATTTACATCAGTGACTGAAAATGAGTCTTTATTTAATTGATTATACTGATTTTAGTATTATGTTCTATATCTAAAAACTGTTGTTTTATAGTTATAATATAAATTACACATTACTATAAGTTTAGTAAACTAGTACTTTTGAGGTTACATTCAGAGTTTGCTTGTTTTGAATAGCGGTGGTGGACAGAAAAGGACAGTCTTCAGTGCTATAAATATCTTTCTCACAACTCGGTCAAATGTGCAAATATATTACGATTATGTTGAAAAAGTCAGTCAGTGTTATTGGCTAGTCGATATGTAAATATATTATACGGTAAACTCTTTCACTATTTCTTACTGAGATTTTTTATACTGTTGAATGTTTTTCCTTCTCTTGGTTTTGGTTTTGACAAGGTTTTTATGTTGTTTCGTTTTCCTGTTTTTCTTTTTCAACTTTGGGTGTGCTTATCATATTATGTGCAATATCATTTCCCGATGGTCTACATGGGCTACCCACGTGAAAGTGGGTTTATAGCTATACTATGGTGCTGTGTAGGTTTCACAGTTGAGGAAGAATCACTTGTATAGTACTAGTCTTGTAAATACAGGTGACTTTATTAATTAAACATATGTTTGATTGCGACACTGAAGTACATTGTATAGTCAAACCTGTCTTAGTGGTCACCGCTCTATAAAGGCCACCTGTCTAAACCGGGTTCTCCTATATTGCCTCCCTTGAGAAGGATCGCGTTGAGGAACCTGTCTAAATATTAAAAAAGGCCACTTGTCTACACTGGTCAGTGCTTGTTCCTGTGTGTGGCCTCTTTAGACAGGTTTTGACTGTAGAACTTCAAAATGTTTTATATTTTAAGTATACACAACCTATTTCAATGTTCAAAATTGAAGAGACATTTTGAACTCCACTAACTTGACTACATAAGCACAGAGGAGAGACGTGCATTTCGAACGACGTTTTGAAAGTACTTTGAGTAATTTATGTTAGTTTATATCTTCTTTGTGTAAAAGAAGTAATGTCTTGAAAGTACTATGGGAAGCGAAAGGTGTTAGAAGATAATAAAAAAATAAAGCATCATGATTGCCTTGCTGAGTGGATTATGCGCACAGATTTTGAAAGAAATGATTCTGCAATTTTTCTACTTTTTAATGATGACACAGTAATTATGTACACACGGTGATTATGTACAATTGTGACATACAGTGTTTCAGCTTTCTGACTGTATGCCTTTGCTTTTCATCAAGCATACATGTAGTTGTAGAAGTATGAAAGCCTTTAGCAAATCCAATTGATTTGCACATTTTCAGAAAAATTGTTAGAATCAAAGATTGTGAAATACCTTTAAGAACCGACCACCCTTGTTGAAAAAGTGGCGTTTTATACAATCTTATACAAAATTTGTTTGTTCCTTTTTAATGGTCAACTTTCACTTTTGTGATTCACTTTTCTGCAGGTGTTTTTAAAAAGTCATCATTATCTTATAGGTGAACATGGACAACGAAAATTGGACAATAGTTGACATGAAGTTACTCGAATATGCCCTTGCCTTTAAGAACTTAAATATTTGTAGTTAGAAAGAAAGTTTAATGACATTTGCGATATACTTTAATTGCTACTTTGCTTTTATAGAGTTATGTGCATACTAGGTGTGCTATTTTATGTGTTTATTTATTACCTCAAATCAACAGCAATTTTAATTTTGTGCTATTAAAACTATTTGATGAGTGAGCATCTCTGGGATTCTGAAGAAACAATATATTGGCTGTTCGAAGCAAGAAGGACGTTAACTCATTATACTACCGAGTTAGCAACCTTCTGCTTCTGAAGCTGTCAAAATTATATATATATCATGTCATACATAACATCAGAACTTTGTTCTTGTCAAGGGTACAATATTATCTATTTGGAGCCACAATCATGATGGTAAAGTCCATCACCAAATGTTGAATTTACTAGCGCCATCTGCAGATGTTGAGCATGCAGAAGACATAACAAATCCGGGGGGGGGGGGGGGTACTCACATATTAGGACATACAGGGGTGTGCAGCTCTAATTGGTAACTTTTTTACAAAAAATCCCTAAACATGGGTCCCACTTTGAGGAAAATGCATCTTTTTTTAGATAAGTGACCCCTAATAATGGGTAGGGGTTTCGAGGCTTGAGCAACACACCCGTCCAAACCAAATCTGAGTACCCCACCCCCCCCCCCCCCCAAACAAGGGATTGCTAGCACAGATCATCTTTAATTCCTTTCTGGCTCAAACAGGATGTTTTCCCTTCCACAACTCCATCCATCTTTCATTCCCAGTTTATTTGGTTTGTCAAATATAACACAAAACAGTAGTAGGCATATCCTTCTTGTTTTGTTTACAAAAAACAAAATTTGGCAGTTGAATGGAAATTGTATTATTTTTTCCCTATCTATTACCCTACAGGCTGTTGACATGATGTCGGTGCAATATTGTGTTTATTATTTTGAGATTTACCCATTTTTGCTGAAATCGATTAAATTGTTTTAGTTTATTTTATTGACAGAGTCAGTATCAGCTAGTTACGTAATCTTGCCGTGTAAGAGAGACAGTAGCAGCACTTGCCTTTTCATAGATCATTAGAAAGATGCCTGTGTTTTATTCGGTGTGACAAAGTGTTTATTTGTTTTCTAAACAACTACAAACACTCTGTACTTCTGGATTTTGTTATACATGTTTACTATGTTTACACATTGTTTGGTAAGTTCACAGAATGTTATTTCTGATGTTCTTCATATTTTATGTTGGGTTTGCAATATTTCTTAGTTCTCTTTCTGTTGCAATGTTCCTACAAATACACAAATGTCGTTTTTATTTTCTGTTCAAGGATGTCTATAAACAACCCCTTTAACCATTGCTCTTTTACAGGGTCTACATTTTGATTTTGATTTTGTTGTATTATATCGCGTTTTTTTCTTCTTAAAGTTCTATTGTGTAGAATATCTCCTAGTTGTGTTTGAGAAAGCTACAAAATTATGCTTAATAGATATAAATAATGTGAATTCCCTCGCATTCACTGTAGAATTTTGCAATTGCATTTGCACAATCTTAGAAAATTATACAAAGATGGAATTTTCCAGTGGACATAATGTATTTGCAATGAAGAGAAATATTGAAGAAAAGTTTTATTGCGTTGCACACTGTGCTTGTTTCTTATACAGTTTTAGCCTTTTTGAAGAACTAACCGTTCAAACTTGTTTATACCAACTCTTTGTACATTTTATCTTGATAAGATGTTCTGTTCACTTGCTATTTATATGTGATAATGTGGTTGAAAAGATTAAGACATTGTACTGAGAGATTTTTCATAGAGATCTATCTTGTTGGAGTCGTTCGAGTTTTTAGTGTGTCAATTTTTGACATGTTTTAGATATTTCCAAATGTTAGGAATTTTCTTACTCCTGGTGGCTCTATTTCTGAGCATCTTTTTTTGTCAAACTTATTTATTTTGCACTTTGTCAACTGATAGACAAAAAAATACACAAAAATATTGCACAAAAATAACTGCCTTTTCCGACCATTTATTGTTTCAATGCCTCCTTAATTAATGTGTAGAGTGATTGAGAAAATATTGAGTAGGAGTGTGAAAATAAAACTTTGTTATATAAAGGTAAACAAAATTTGTACTGAAATACCACTTACTGTTATTTATTAATTTTCTATTTATTGAGGGGGGGGGGGGGGGGCTTTTGTTCTTACGATGCCTCTATTCCAACTAAAAAACCCTAGAATGGCATTATTCGTACCACAAGCAGCAAATCATGTAACTTACATGTAGAAAGGCAAAGTAAGACAAATTAAAAATCTTCCTTAAAGACCCCTTCAGGTGAAAATACAAATTAGTATCAATAGAAAGCTGAATGAACATAGAATACAAATACAGAGAAACACTCATATATTTTCCCTTTCGGTTTTGCACAAAAGCAAATTTAAACCTTGTTTTCCTCACCCCTCAATATTGCGGTTCAACAGGGGTCCGTTTGCCGCAGTTACAGTGACGACATAACGCGTGGACCCAATTGGCTCGCCTATATAGCTGAGGCGATATGCCATGCTTAATTAATGCATAGTCATAATGCATACCCCACATAAGATGATGCCATCAAGTCGATTTTTAGGTTGACAACTTCTGATTTTAGAAGCTTTAGATTGTGAGTTTCAGAGAGCCATTACTCCTCTGACAGATACTAAAAATAGCATATAATTGATATCATTATAATCTATAGCTTATAAGTTTTCCATTAATATATAATTCCATCTATTTCATTCTTATACTTCTGACGACTGCTGTAGCTGAACCACTGAATAAATAAAGCATAATATTCCAAGCTGAAATCAACAAAAATCTAAATTCCTTGATCCTTACTGGTAAAATATCTATTTAGGTTCAATCGCATTCCCCCATGAAACGTGACCCACTTACAATCCTTCATCAAAGATGTCTGTCAAACCGAACAGAACAAGCTACTCCATTACAAAAGTTCAAAGGTCACATCATATCAGGGGTCAAGCAAGGGTCACTCATGATCCAAATGTTAGAATTTGTTTCTCCGTGGAATATTCACCCAGAGCCTTTTCAAGGGCACTGCCATAATTATCAATGTCAACCAGTCTGTGCTGGGGCGCCCTCAGTTGTCCCGTTCCACCCCATCTGCAGAGTTGATCAAACATCTGTCTCGCTTCCTCGCCTGGTTGGATTTAAAACAAATAAATTGAGAAATAACAAACGATATCAATACCTGATTCATACAATTCACAACGTTCTTTGTATACTTACAAGATAGACGCCTTAAGCCCCACTGCACTACGTATAGCTACTTGCGCCCTCTATATAGCAAACAATGTCCGATCGTTGACCATTGGTCCCCCATGATCCTCTTTTTCTTATTTTAATTGAGAGCTGAGTTGATGAGATAACCACCTGTGACCTGTCAGTGACCACGCTGGGTGGTTGTATCCCTCCTGGTCAAACTATTACAGATGGGCTTTAAGTTTTGCTATAGTGTGATGAGAACAGTACTAAAAATAGGAGTAATTTACATAATGCCTCAAACCCAATCTACATGTAGTGAAAAAGTACTTTTCCATTATAGCTCTACATCAATCTCTTGGTAACATGAACAATGTTTAGAGACATCATGCTCCATCCAATCATGAACTTGATTGGGATGTTAAGGTCGTGGTGGTGGGTTCCAGCAACATCATGGAACTACAATACATGTAATATTCCTTTGCAAGACATTAATCTACAATTGACACTCTCTACTCATGTTTTAAGTGAGTATCTGTTGGATTCATCCCTTGAATTGCACTATATGCTGATAATGATTGTTGGAGCTAAAGCTGGAGTAATAATTCCAAAAGCCTTTAAAACACACATAGAGATAATGTATCATAATACAATATAAACAAGCAGGATATTACTATCATTATTAATGAGGTTAAGGGTCAACTTACTTCCAGCATTCTCTTGATGCCACCTGCTCATCCAATAACCTTTGAACTTGAGGTCATCAAAGATGAGAGACCCTGTTGGGACCATAACAGGCTGCTTGGACATCCCTCCATACGTAACTATGGTACCGCCATGCCTGTAAAAGAAGGGAGAGAGAGAGAGTGAGGGATAAAGACAGAGATACATGAGAAGAGAGATGAGGAGCAATGGCTCAGTGGTAGAGCAGTGGTATTGTAAGGCGAGGCGTCAAAAATAAATATACCAGCCACCGGCAGCTAACTGCACTTGTGCGTCCTGGCTGCATTTTTTAAATTAGCTCAGCCGGCTACCGCTGGCGGTAGGAAATGGCATTCAAAAGCACGCGCCGGCTGCCGCCTTTCGAATGGAAACCGAGCCTCAGATCCCAGCCTGGCGCAAGCCGGCTGGGCTAATAAGTGAAAAATAATTGCCCCAGCCAGGCTTCGGCCGTAATTGCAGCCTCGATGCGCCAATACGTGAGGCGGCAGCCTGCTGGTATCAATATTTTTGACGCCTCGCCTAACCAGGAGGTTCAAGGTTCAAAACCAAGTCATAACATAATTTTCAGAATACAAATCCCCCCCCCCCCCCCCCCCCCCCCGTGAAAAAAAAATAAATAATGATATTAGTGAATAAATTAATTAATGAAAAAAAATCAATAAATAGATCTCAAAATAAAAACAAGAAAATAAATAAATAACGTTGAAAGGGAGAGAGAGTGAGGGATAAAAAAAAGAGATACATGAGAAGAGACAGGAGGTGCCGTGGCTCAGTGGTAGAGCAGTGGTCTTGTAAACAGGAGGTCCAGGGTTCGAAACCAATTTGATGCGCTAGTGCCCTTTGCTACGCCATTAATTGTCATTACTTACTTTGATGTTTACTTTGATGTTGAAGCGTAAAGATAAACTTATTTGCCCCTCCAGGTAATGCTATCTCTCTGGTATGGACTGTACTTAAGGGGGTGGCTGTACCAATATTTCCCAAGGATGGATTTGAACTGATTTACAGTTGTTGCTCTGACTGCTGAGTCTGGTAAGGAATTCCAGTTGTTGCAACTTCGCACGGAGAAGGAATTTTGACGAAGCACAGATTACTTCCTTACTTTCACACTGTGGCCTCTGGTTCGGGATTCATGGCCTTGTTGAAAAAAATTATCCACCCGGTCAATTCCTTTCATAATCTTAAAGATTTGAATCAGCTCAGCTCTCTGTCTTCGGTAAATGAGTGTCTCTAACCAGAGGGCTTTCAGTCTGTCACGGTATTCTAGGTGACGAATATGTGCGAGTTGACGGGTAGCTCTTTGCTACACTTTTTCCAGTAAGTCTTCGTCTTTCTTGAACATGGGACACCAAACCGAGTTGCAATATTTAAGAGTAGGCCGGATAATGGTCTTGTAGAGCATAAGCCATTACCAAGCCCCTCGGAGAGGACTCAAAGCGGTTGATCCTCTGGTTGCTTACAATTACAAGCATACACATGCTTTCTTAGCAGTCAATTAAAACAAACAACAACAAATACAAAAAACAACTACCAGTAAACATAGGTAGAAAAAGATAGGAAGAGAATTAGTACATGTAGCAAAGGCAACAAGTGGCTAGCTTTAGACAGACCAAAAACAAATGAATGGTCATAATAGATTTGTTATTACTATTAAAATATCTACAAGATAACATTATTTTCAGAACACCAAATTTCTCCCCTCCCCCCCCCCCCCTCCCTCACCAAAAAAAAATGAAAATGAAATGATAGTGATAAGAATATTAATAAATAAATGAATCAATCAATTAATTAATTTAATAAAAAAAAAAAAAAATGAAATAAATATAAAAACAGTAAATAAATAATTTTTTATAAAAAGAAGGAAAAACTAGATGGAATTCGACTGCGCGCAGTCGAAAATGATGCCTCCGTCATAGAGCAATTTTACAAACTGAAACGGAAGAAATTTTTCAAATTCAAGTTCAATTGTAATCCATTGGCAATATTGTGATTACAAGCAATTTCTCATATACATATATGACCCTTTGATCTTTGACCTCATGACCCTAAAATCTACTCAGTTCATTGGCTCTGCAAGATTTCCTGAGTTAAATAGTAATCCATCTGTCAGTTCTAATGAGAATGCGTCCACAAGCTATTTTTGCATACATAATGAGCCCATGACCTTTGATCTTATGAACCATTCATTGGCTCTGCAAGATACATAAATGATCTAAGTTTGGCAGGAATCCATCAATCTGTTCTAATGATAATACGATCACAAGCTATTTTTGCATACATAATGAGCCGCATGACCTTGACCTTTACCTCATGACCCCAAAATCTAATCAGTTCATCAGCTCTGCAAGTAACATACATGACCTAAGTTTGGCAGGAATCCATCAATCGGTTCTTGAGATAAGGCGATCATGAGCTGTTTTTGCATACACAATGTGCGCTGTGACCTTTGACCTCGTGACCCCAAAATCTAATCAGTTCATTGGCTTTGCAAGATACATACATGACCAAAGTTTGGCAGGAATCCATCAATCGGTTCTTCAGATAACGCGATCACAAGCTGTTTTTGCATACATAATGAGCCCTGTGACCTTTGACCTCGTGACCCCAAAATCTAATCAGTTCATCAGCTCTGCAAGATACATACATGTCCAAAGTTTGGCAGGAATCCATCAATCGGTTGTTCAGATAACGCGATCACAAGCTGTTTTTGCATACATAATGAGCCCTGTGACCTTTGACCTTTGACCTCGTGACCCAAAATGTAATCAGATTGTTTTCCTATAGTGATACACACTATCACTAAGTTTGAAGTTTAAATCTCCAGTGGTTCTTGAGATATGATAACAATCTCAATGTATGGAATTTCATAAGTTGACCTCTGTGACCCTTGACCTTTGACATACGTGCTCCAAAATCTAATCAGATCGTCTTCCTATGGTGATACATACTATCCTTAAGTTTGAAGTTTAAATCTCGAATGGTTCTTGAGATATCGCGCTAACAAACTCAATACAAGGAATTTCATAAGTTGACCTCTGTGACCTGTGACCTTTGACCTACGTACTCCAAAATCTAATCAGATCGTCTTCCTATGGTGATAAATACTATTCCTGAGTCTTAAGTTTAAATCTTAAATGGTTCTTGAGATATTGTGATAACGGTCAAACGGGACGGACGTACGGACGGTACTGACGTACGGACGGACAACCCGAAAACATGATGCCTCCGGCACCACCTTCGGTGGCGGAGGCATAAAAAGTGATGTGATACCCATCAGATAATTGCCCATCTATGTGAAACTATTTATTTACATGTAGCAGATTTCAACCACATCATTTATTCAAATACTTGCTGCTAAACATAAAATGAAACTGATTCTAAATTTTTTTTTAAACAATCTGAGGATGCTAATCTTACTTGTTTAATAACACAGAATAGTCTACTCACTGGATTTGTTTGACAAGAGCTATGATGCTCTTTCCACCGACGGCATTCACTGCAAGTTTAGGTTTTGGCAAGTCCTGATGAGGAGAAAGAAGAATGCCTACATGTAAAATTCCCCAAATATATAAATAACCACAGAGAAATCAAGTAAAAATATTTCTTGAAGACTTATTATTTGGAAGCTACTTCTGTAACTCACCAATGAAAAGCTTTTACAATATCTTTTCAATTGTTGATCACAATGCACCTACTGCAAGGTACCTGTATGATATATGAGGATACACATGTCACCCCCCCCCCCCCCCAAAAAAAAGGCATTATGACATCAAAGTAATAATATGGGCTATCATGCTCAGAATTTATGTTTTTTTATAAATTCAAGAGACTGAATCCCATTTTCTGTATAATAAAAATCATTCATCACAAGAAAACAAGGATTATCCTCAATAATAAAGCATAGAAAGAGAAAGAAAAAGAGAAAAATTTGCCCCTTTTAACTATCTGGAGGTGTATTTGCTTCAACCTGATCAAATTCAAGACAAACCTTCAGCAAAGTCGATGCTCATTTATCACAAGATAACAAAGATTATCCTCAATAACCCTGCATAGAGAGAGAAAGAGAAAATTATGCCCTTTTTAAATATCTGGAAGCCTATTTGCTTCAACCTGATCAAATTCAAGACAAACCTTCAGCAAGGACGCACTCCTTTTCGAAGGTCGCCCTACATAGAAAGAGAAATACAAAGAGAAAATTATGCCCTTTTTAAATATCTGGAAGCCTATTTGCTTCAACCTGATCAAATTTAAGACAAACCTTCAGCAAGGACGACGCTCCTTTTCGAAGGTCGCCCTCTGTTGTTACGACGGTTGCTCCCAGGCCGTGAAGGTAGTCTGTGAGCTCCTGCAGGTCAGGTCTATCTCTCACGATGTTGATCGTCTTTAAGCCTCTAGCTGCTGCAATCTGTATGAGAGCCTGTCCAGCCCCGCTATTAGCTGCATTCTGCACGACCGTGTCACCTTGGGAGGGGTAGGATTAAAAAGCACTTCATTGTAACTCTTTAGTCATAGTGGTGTTAGGTTTTTTGGGTTTTTTTGGAGGGGGGGGGGGTGGGATCAGGACCATTTGATCCAGGCCCCAATTTCTCTTTAATACACGTTTCAATGGGATGTCCAAGAAGTTAGACTTATGACGATTTAGAGAAACAGCCCCCAGAATGCTACATATGACATAGTATAGTTGAGCAATAAGAAGCAAAATTCAAAGAAAATCTGGAGTTGATTTTTGTACACTGTGCTTTTCATGATCAGACAACATCAATTGAAAATAAGCATTAAACTCTAAGTGGATTAGAATAAACAATCACTGTTTTCTTGTACAATGTCACACTTTGTAAGGTTCTTTTAACAAACATTCTGAGTTGTCGAACACTTAATAATATGAAGGAAATAGTGTACCAGTAGACATTTTTTGTTTGTTATAACTTTTCCTAAAATATTAGACAACATAACATATTAGACAGCATTTATGCACAGAAAAATAGAAGAAAAAATAGAGATAAGAAAAATGGTTCTTCTAGAAACAGGTCTTATTGTCTCTATACTGGTACTACCTATTGTTAAAGGTAAAGACCAGTATTGGAAACGCCCCAATTTCAAAAAATGAAATGGAAGCTCTTATTACCTATCATGTGAAAGAATATGTTTTGACTAATACATGATGGTAAAAATTTTGCCAGGAAACCGCCTACTAATTGATATATTTGGTAAATTAGTTTATCTATTGGTGTGTGAGAGATAAACGCACATGTCGTGCACATGTGCGTAGTCCCATATACATCTTTCTGTGTACAGTGCTTGTAACTTTACGAAGAACCTTGAACCAGAACCTTGCAGTACACACCAATACTTATATGCTAGATGATCAACCTTTTCTGATCGATTCCACAACGTATCTTTCACAATGCAATCGCATGACCATAACTGGTCTTTATCTTTAAGCTAAACTACCTAACTTCTTGTAACTAGAACGGCACTGTTTAACAAAATCCTGGAATAGATTCTAGGGGCTGCTTAAAGGGATTGTCGTTTCATGGTTAAAGTTTTTATCAAATATGTGATGATAAAAACATAATCACTTTCAAATTTGGTTATTTTGTTGATTTTGTAGCATATATCTCCTACGGCTACTTCTAACACTCACCTTCTACTAAATTCTCAAAATCAGCAAGCATTCTGTAAGCTGTACATGCGTTGACTTTAACAGTTGCTGCGATGAGAGGGGGTGTGCCTTCAGGAACTACCATCACTTGATTGGCAGGGCAAACAAGATGTGAACACCAAGTACCTGCGTGAACACAACATGAAAATAAAGAAATTGGTGTAAATGTTCAAGCTGAATAAATACAAATGCGATAAATCTCTATAAAGGCAATCTGTCCATGATGGTCCCCTGCAAACTAATATATGTTGTAGAGACTATCTCGATTGACTACATGTATGGTTTTACTGGGTCACTTTTACTTTTTTTGCATCTACAAAGATAACCCTAACAAATGCCTGTCTCCTTCCAAGCCTACTGAAAAACTGATTACAATTTGGCCTTAATATATATAGGAACTATATAGGAATATAGGAACTAAGCTTAAAGAAAAGATACAGTTCCAACAAATCCAAAGCTTTGAACAAAAGTGGTAATTAAAAGTCTTGGGCAAGTCCAAGGTATTTGGTGACTTGGAACCCCAGATGTTACAAAGCATTGTACAATTATGAATATTAATTGACATTAGATCTTCTCTTTTCACTTCACATCAGTAGTTCGTCTGATCAAAGTTTCTGCTAAGGCAATAAACTGAACAATTATCAGTCAGATATATACACCTGCATATACTAAATTCTGACATAATAATAATAATAATAATCTGGAGTTGTATAGCACTTAATACGGAATACCGTCTCTAAGCTCTTTACAGATATATAACCCCAGTCAACGGATTCATTCAAGCACAATGTGCACCATCTCCACTCCCTGGGGAGTATTCCTACCAGATGGTCACCATGAGGGCATAGGCAATTACTGACATAAATGCTTTTGTCATCCTACCGGGTCCCCATTTCTCTCTTGGGTATTGAGTGGCAAATGCAGTTTAATGCTTTGCCAAAGGACATTTATAGTGCAGTGTCAGGGATCGAACACACGACCTTTGAATTTCAAGTCAAGTGCTTTAACCACTCAACTACGTCACTTCTAACATTTGGTTCATTAAGTCTGTGACAAAATTAACTAGAGAAAATAAGCTTGGATTTGTCCTCTTCAGACCAGATAAAACTGGTTCTAACCTGTCACACTTCCTTGGAAGATAACCCTCTCTCCTGGTGTCAAATCCTTGACATTGCTACCAACTTCTTGAATCTCTCCTACTCCTTCAAATCCTGCCACAGCTGGGAAGGCTGGCTTGATTGGGTAGATACCTAGCAGAAGAAATAATCAGACATGATTATATATACCTGTAAGGGAATATTCTCACTGGATGAATATCCATTCTTTAAAAGAAAATGTTCCGAAGATTTCTATCATAATTGCACAGAAAGTATATACAGAAGGAAGCTCATTATTACTTTAAAGGTAAAGACCAGTTATGGTCACGCGATTGCATTGTGAAAGAAACGTTGTGGAATCGATCATAAAAGGTTGATCATCTAGCATCTAGCATCTGCAAGGTTCTGGAATCATCAAAATGATAAGAAATTTGGCCCATTCTTTGTAAAGTTACAAGCACTATACACAGAAAGATGTATATGGGACTACCCTATATCTCTCACAGACCATGAGAGAAACAAATTTACCAAATATATTAATTAGTAGGCGGTTTCCCGGCAAATTTTTTATCATCATGTATTAGTCAAAACATATTCTTTCACATGATTGGTAATGAGAGCTTCCATTTCATTTTTTAAAATTGGGGCATTTCCAATACTGGTCTTTACCTTTAAAGAGAAGCATACTAAAATACTAAATGTCCCCCCCCCCCCCCAAAAAAAAAAAAAAAATACAAAAAAAAATACAAATACAAATACAAATTTAGTCAACAAAAAAAATTCATCTTAATAGTCATTATAAATAATTAACATTGTTGCTACGTTATTGTAATTGCAGTTGTTGTAATTGTAAACATGTATAGATTAGCAGAAGAAATATGAGTGAGTTATGGCAGCCAATGCAGGACTTTGATCCTACCATTGCTTTCCAAACTGCAGTTCTTCAAAAAAATAAAAGCAAACTTCTTTGTGTTCCCCTTTTTTTCCAATAATTAATAATAATAATAATTATTTAAAAAAATTAAACTTGAATCTTGAATCATATCCTATTTTTAGAGAGCAGTATTTACTGCAAATCTGTTTTGGGGTGTGTATGTGGGTGTAACAATAAAGTCAGCACTATGGATTTGCTGTCGCTGAAGGGTTGTTGTTGTTCGTTTGGTATTATAATGGCTATTAGTCAAATTTGACTATTGTTGCCAATTTCATCGCATCTCTTTCTTTTAATGGGTGTTTCATCATGGTATTGTTCAGGGAGGAAGGTTATCCACACACACAGACCTTGTATTGAGTTGATATCTGATGGGTTGACCGGGGATGCAATCATCTTCACAAGAACAGAATCATCATCAACCTCTGGAAGAGGCCTCTGCTCTAACCTAGATAAAACATAATTACAAGAAACAACGATCATAGTGATCTAGTTACCATTTACGCATCCCATATCCGTCCCATTCTAGAGTATGCCTCACCTGTCTGGTCTTCTTCAATCACTTGTCAACAGTCTGAGAAAGTTGAGAGAGTTCAGAGACGTGTGACCAAGATCATTCTCGGTTTCACCCCTCTCACCTATGATGAAAGGCTAGAGAGTCTAAATCTGACCTCCCTTCAAGCAAGAAGAATAGAGCTTGATGTTAAGTTTGCCCACTCGTTACTGACGTCCCGACACAGAGACTTACTTCCACCATCTAAAGATTCCTTGCCCAATTTTCGCCCCCTCCGTAATAATCATGGTTTGGTCATTCCTAGGTGCAGGACTAGCCGATATCAAAATTCTGCTGTTCCTTCTCTTGTTCGTGCAATTAATAAGCCTTGATTCTCTCTCTCTCTCTCTCTCTCTCTCTCTCTCTCTCTATCTATCTATCTCTATCTCTATCATCTTTCTCTCTCTCTCTCTCTATCTCTCTCTCCCTCTTGCCTTATTCCTCAGAATCTTTTAATTGACACATTCACTATTTGGTGTACGTTATATTTTAATAATGGCATTGTATAACTAATTTTTAAAGTCGATTCCAATTTGTAATTTATATATTTCTGTGTGGTTATCTTATCAACTCAAACGTAATTATGTTAATTCAGGTTTTAAGGCTTTTATCGTTGCCTATCTTCAAAATATTTTCCCCCCTTTTTTCTTTGATTGTTTGGTTGCTCAACATTATTTTTGTCTGTTTATCTGCTACCATTACCATATATCAGTTTAGTAATTTGATGATCCTGACCCTACTTTCTCTTAGTTTATTTTGGTATTGTATTGATGGAATTGAATTATTTTTGTCATCTTTATTTCGTATTGTACTTGTCATACCTTTCGTTTGGCTCACTATTGTATATTTACTTTATTTATAACCGTATTGTATAATTTGTAAACATGAACAGTTTTGGTCCTTGGACCTTTGAATCATGTATATTTATATGTCTTTTTAAACCGAAATAAATAAATAAAAAAAAAATCATATCAAAATGATGGCCAAACAAACAATTAAAGCCCCACTGCACTACTTATAGCTAAGTACACCCTCTATACAGCCAACAGTGCCTAAGCGCTACCCGTTGATCCCCCATGATGCCCCGTTTCTTATGTTAATTGAGAGCTGATTTGATATGACGCAATAAAGCGATACTGTGCGGATTGAATGGTGGTTTCCTTTTTCACAATAATGCCACCAATAATGGGCCAATGGCCCTCGAAAAAAATGATATATAAACAAATCAAAGGCAATATGCAAGCAAAACAAAAACAAACAAAATAAAAATAGGTCTAGATCTAGAGTAGATCTAGATTCTAAATAAACAAAAACAAACCACCCGTTTCAAATTTTCTGCATAACATATTGCAACGATTTATAGTAGGCAGATAAATAGGAATTAGCATTAAAATATCATGGCCTCGGGCCCGAATCCACCTTCTCCCCCCCCCCCCCCCCCCCCCAAAAAAAAAATGCTTATCCGATTAATCACAAACACCATTTATTACGTGTGGGACTTAAAAATTAAAATTGACCTAATTGACAGCTTACTTTACCACCTTTACTGGATCTCCATATTTTTCGTATACCAGTGATTTGCTTGATCCAACTGCTGATGAGTATCTAACCGGTAAGAGAGATCCACATGATACTTGTAATCTGGATATTTTCAGTGATTTTGAAATCCATTTGACAGTATTCATGATGCTCATGGGCGCTGCCATCTTAGATTCGTGTTTACGGAAGTAAGAACACCCTCTTGCGGATGATATTGGCAAACGCGGGAAATTTTGTACGGGAAACTGACCCGGCAAAATTTGCACTGCATACGTACTATCATATTCACTTCACGTCAAACACAGTCATTGTCTAACTGCCAGTCTGCAGTCTCATCTATATAGACGTCTACAAGAATATTTGAGAGGATCAAGAAAACATGGAATTCTCGGAGAACAGCACTAAAAAGAGGATCAAGAAGGAGTCATTCGTCGACAAAACGAAAGAGCCTCACTTGTTGTTTTATCGCATTCCACCAATCGAGAACATTTCCCTCTCTGAATTCGAGGAGCTGGCAAAACGAAGACTGGCAGGTAAGTCAAAGACAGAGTGAGAGTGTACAGTTACTTGAGACTTTGTTGGTTGCTCATGTTGGCATCTGTATTTTGAATTTCCACAAATACTACAGCATATGACGGTGTGCCACAATTGTATAATTTTGTACAGATAATTTTGATATTATTAGACCTCACCTAAATCGCATGAATCATTCTTGATGTTATTAAATCATAAATGATAATAGATTCTAGGTCTAGAATTCATTGTTTGTTTTTGGAACTCCATCTTGATAACATTGCCATGATCTAGACTATGTTTCCTGAAGCAGTTAAGGAAACTGTTTAATACAAATTCAAACTAGTTCTAGACCTAGGTCTAGACAAATTAATGGGCGGTCATTGATTAATTTTTCGGACAGAACATTTGGTGAGTTCAATCATAGATTTGCAACTTGTTGCACTGAATTGTCGTCAATTTATGTTTTTCTCTTGGTTATTGTTGTTGTATGAAAATCCGTCAATTTTTCTACAATTCACAATTATTAGGGTGTAGGCCTATATTTCATCGAAATGCAGCTGATGACGATTTAGTTTTACTAGGGGTCTATGAATATTTGCACCGTCTATCATTTTCATTAGGGGTCTGAATAAAAAATAAGGAAATTCTGTCTGTAATATTGATTTTCTAAATGCTAGTTTAGTTGAAACTGATTAAATGTATTTTTTCTCCTTCTATTTATTTTTTTTCTTCTCCCAGTTTTGAAGCATGTTGAGTCTGTTGGTATCCGGCATGTCAAAGGAAGCGAGGAGTACAATGAAAGGATGGATAAAGAACTCAAGAAGTTGATGCCCATTGCTCACAGGAAGGTATGGTATCTCAAATTATATCCCCTCAATAAAATATGAGATATGGTCCCATTTCCAGAGATGATCAAGAGAACCTTACAGGGCTAATTATTAAACCCTACAACAAGGCCATACACTAAAAGACACCCAATACAGAAGAGCACCTATATTTTACCTTGGGTCACACGAATTTTACTTTAGCCTAGGACCCGTAACATTTCAAAGTTTTAGCAGGTGGCCTAAATGTACATAGCTGCTAGCTGCTAACCATTACTGTTTATAACTTTTGAAGGAATGATTCTTACTTTTCAGCCTTCAAACTTACATTCTGAACCTTTGGTTTCACTATTTTTCTAAAAAGAATCAACCATTCTGTGTACAATTCATACAAATATACTGAATTCCTAAGGTTCTCTTGAAATTTCATAATTTAGGTTTTAGAAGGTTTGCAAGTATTGGCCGATGCAAAGAGACCCCCAAAATATCGCTGAGGGCCTCTTAACTAAAAACAAAAATATCCTAGAGTGTAGCCTTGGTTTTGATACAGAATGTTTAATCCTGTCAAACTCAACTTTAATCCCAGGAAACCAGAGATGAATGTGGTAGGTCTATACTACAGGAACTCTAGGCATGATCATATCAAAGTTTAATAAAGAAAAAGACAAAATAATGACTTTAATAATGATTTTGATTGACTCGAGCATAAATGTGAATTGTCTTTATTCTTCTATGACAGATGAGTGGAGAAGATTTGGCAGCTCACAAGCGAGATGACCGAATCTCACATTTCATCTTGAGGTTGGCGTACTGCAGATCGTAAGTTGAATGATCCATCATCAAAAACCTAATTGCACCCTTAACCCTAGGAAAAGTGCAAGATACAGTGAAACCCATCTATAAAGACCACCCAAGGGAGACAAGAAAAGTGGTCTTTATAGGCAGGTGGTCTTTATGTACAGGTTCCTTTAGTACAGGTTTCAATGAGAAACCTTTTTCAAGGGGAAACCAAAATGTGGTCTTTGTAGACAGGTGATCTTTGTAGAGAGATGGTCACTAAAGCAGGTTTGATGTACATGTAATTACTACATTACTGTTTACAAAAAAAATGTATGGGAAGATGAGGAGAGATTTATGACTGAAACATCTTTAACAACATTTCATGTAAATTAGGAAACAGTCATCTATTTAAATTTCTATTCCTCTTTCTTACATAATGCTCAGACTCAGAGGTAGTTTCTTGGTACTTTTGTCATTTTGATTAACAAAAATGTCTTCCATTTATCAACAAGTATTTAAAATCTTGATTCAAGAATTGTTGTAATAGAGGATGCGCAGAACAGTATATCAAACATGATTTACTCTGTGAATAGTTTTCAATATTATTGTACATAACTATTGTTTAGCAACTGCCAACCATCATAATTTCTTTTGATGTATGTTGTATTCCCCAAACCACTCTTTCTTAATTTTGACTCGATGCTATGCAGGGAAGACCTGAGGCGATGGTTCATTCAACAAGAGCTTGATCTGTTCCGATATCGATTCCTGAGAGAATACAGTGAATCTGTCACTCAATTCCTGGCTGAAAACAAGCTTCATTATACTCCAGTGAGTAATGTTACATGTAGATGATATTTCTTTTTTTGTATAACTAAAAAAAAAACCTCTTTTAAGAAAATTTTCAATCATACATTTACCCTAAATATAACAATTACAAATATGATCTTGTACAACCCCTGTATTAAACAAATCTATTCCATCATATTAACTAGGAAAATGAAAGTCTTTGAAATTTTCTGTACAACACTGATGACAACTTCAAAAAAATTCTAATCAGATTTTGCTTGAACTTTCACTAATTTGTTTCTCACATTTGTCTGCTTTTATTAAAACCAACTTAATATTTGGGTGGACTTCCCCTTTAACATTGTATAGACACATTTGGATATGTGCCAGTTTATCAAAATACAGCACCTTGTCTTTCATCGATTTGGGCAAAATATTAGCCAAATAAAAAATAGAAAAAAAAAATATAGGAAAGAACAAATGAGGGGAAGGGGAGTCTACAACTTTAAAAGGAAGATGACATGACCCCCTCCCCCCCCCCCCCCCCCCCCCCCTCCATACCATGATACTAAGAACATTTTAAGTACAATATAAAAGATATCTCCTGTGATTCTTATTTTCGCAGATCCCTGAGAATGAGAAGGACGCATTGAATGAGAAGCTGGTGAGATCTTCACCGGGGATCAGCGCATCCATGATGGCCCATACAGACTTCTTCAAGGTGCCCTTCACAGAGGCCCTGGACCTGGTCAGAGGGAGGAAGGTCTTTATTCAAAAAGTAGGTCTCTCATTTAGGCCTGATAATTACCAGATTTAAATTGGTTTCTCGATTTTTTTTTTCCCAATTTGTACCCAATTTGTTTTTCTTCCCAATTAAAAAAAAGCAAACAATTACCTGATTTTTTTTTCTTCCAGATTTTCCATTATTTTCTCTATCCTTCCCTATTTTCCCCTTTTCCCCCCCAATTTTCTTACCTAAAAGGGGGAGGGGAATGTTGTAAGATGCCATCCCCCCCCCCAAATCCTCTTCTCTTTTTTTTTTTTACTCAAAGGGGGCATGGTTGAGGGGGGGGGGGGGGGGGAACTAGACAAGTTTTGAAAAGAAAAAAAAATAGTAAAATAGAAAAGTACTAAAGTCATGGAAAAAAATGTAGAAAATCAAAATCACCCAATGGTGAGTGGTTGGTTCATTAAAAGTTAAAGGGTCATCGCTATTTTAAGTTTCAAAACTGATATGATGTTTAGGAAAAGGTCCTAGATTTTGCAAAGTCACAGAAAATCATGATTGATTTTATTTTTTGTAGGAAATGCAGGAATTCTAGTCATCATGGTGTAATGTGGCAATAATAAGAGCCAAATTATAAAGAGATATGCAGCCTACTGGTCTGTACTAAAGGTTCAATAACATGTATTTCTTTCGGTTTTTCTTTTTCTTTATCCAGGGATATGCCTTTGTACCTCACAGTGAACTGGTATCCATTGTAATAACGGCTTTCAGGTCTCATCTCTCTCAGAGTCTCGCTGTAAGTCGATCATGAGTTTATAATGTTTTGCAGAGAAAAGTAATTGTAAATCACAAGTCAAGAGAGGCTGTCACTGAGGAGGAAATGTTTAACAGGAGAAAGTTACTTTGTCTAAGATTTTAAGAACAGTGAGTCTGGGATCCTAAGTACTGCTTTTGTAATATTGCTAATTTAATTGATATTTTAAACCAAGAAAAGCCTATTTTGTATTAAAAATCAAAACTGGCACATGGATATCAAATCTTGCTATATTGTAAAATGGAACACTTTTTTTTTTATCAAGATGACTCTTGGAAAATTGACCATGATAACAAGATGAAATCTCCTTGTGAGAAATCGCTACAGATTCAGGGATACTGTAAGGATCAAGATGTTTTTAATGTGTTTTGATTATTGACATGCAACAAATGCTACATACAGTTGTTCTATAGCATAATAACCAGATGAACACCATCGCATTGAAGGGTCAATGACACAAAGACGTAACTCCATTTTGGCCATTTTGAGAAAAAGTGGTTTATGTGTCACTGAGCACTTGGGCCTTAAGGAGTTAAGTCTATGTTTCACTAGCCATTGACTTCAATAAGGGTGTTATAGGTGGAGTTAAGTCTTTGTGTCACTGAACCCTCGATATATTGTTTCTATTATTTCACTGTGTGAGCATCTTTTTTTTTGGTGGCAGATCACAGCTCGTGGGATACCCCACTTGGAGGAAGATGGCCGCCTGCTGCCGATGCTCAACAACCTGAGCAAGCAGTACCTAGGCCAGGACTACAGCAACAGCAAGAGGTCCGGGAACTCTGCCATCAACCTTGAAGACATAGAGAAGGTACGTATTCAAGCATGATTTATCCTCGGTGTTACATAATGCGTAAAGGTAATGCAAAGTTTTGGGAAATTTTGAAAATTGGATGGATAGTAATTCTTTAAATGTTGATATATTTGGATGCCCCTGTGGATGTATTATAAGCAATAGGAATTTTAGCCCCTAAAACAATTCTGCTTTCGAGAAATTGAATAATAAAAAATTTACCGGGGCTCCCGGTAAATTTCAAATACTTCAAATAGGGCCATTCCATGAAGGCTGCGACCATGAAAATCCAAGAATATGCAGTTTTTATATATAATTTTCGAATGGGAATAGCAAATCTGTCAATTGCTAAAGTAATATCAGTCTTGAGAGGGCGCTATACAACATAAGTTTATTATTTTCAATTTCATCACTTTAGACTCGATTTCAACCGCGACAACGATCATTGAATGTTGTAAAATCGCATAGGCTTCCAACATGTTCATTTGAACCAAATTCATGACCCCTTACCAAAACTTTGTATTACCTTTAAGGGGTTTGAGAAATTACTCAAGTCACATCTATTCTGCTAGAAATTACTTTATTACCAGCCTACATATACTTGACTGATCTCTGAGAAGTGACTAAATTTGTTTACAAGTGGCCCAAACATTGTGGAGCTCTGTTCAGCGCTTTGTAACTGCAAGGAAAAGGCGCTATATCAAATATCTTTTGGATTGGATCGGATTTAAGTGATATTCTTGACTCGAACAGAAGAGAGCTTGCGCATGTGTTTGACATGTGAAGATGGTATTTATTAAAAGGCATGAGTGCGCCCTCTAACTGAATATACATTATAGTCTGTCGGTTGACTAAATCACATAAACAAGATACTGTAACACTCAGGAGAAAGTGCATGAGCAATGTCATTATTAGAATTAAAATGGAACAATTCTTGGTCCCTCTTGTTTTTTACAACCTGAGTAACCAGTACCTGGGCCACAACTACTGCAGCAGTAATTAGTCTGGGAACTCGACCATCGACGATGAAGATTTAGATGAGGTAGTTTTTAAACTATTCATGTTTATCCCAGTTGTGGAGAGCTAACTACCTGTATAATAATAATAATAATAATAATAATAATAATAATAATATGGAAATTTATATAGTGCCGGTATCCGCCAGGCTCTGACGCTCATGGCGCTGTACATATAGAATACATCATAATCCATAGCTGACAAACATTCATATTTTTGAGGAATGTTTCAATTTTTTTTCCTCAAATTTTCATCCAAACTGATAATATACCCTCTACTCTGCTTTTACTCTTGGAAATTCTGCATGTAAGCATTCAAAATGCAGTCAAACCTGCTTTAGTGACCACCTGTCTACAAAGGCCACAATTTTTGTTTCCCTTGGACAGTAATTGCTATAGACAGGTTTGACTGCACATGTACACTATTATCATGATTCCCCCTTGAGACATTTCCCATTTTGTTGTGAAAAGTTAGTTAGCAGGTATGAATCTGCAGAGCTTTTTTTTTACTTTGTTACCCAGTACTCCAAGCAGTCGTTCCCGCTCTGCATGCGTCAGCTTCACATGTCACTCAAAGAGCACCATCATCTCCGTCACGGCGGCAGGATGCAGTATGGGTTGTTCCTCAAGGGTATTGGGATGACCTTGGAGCAGGCCATGACCTTCTGGAGGTCAGAGTTCACACGTATCATGGACATGGACAAGGCAAGTTTGAATCTTTTTAATCTGCTTAAAGATTTTAGATTTAAAGAAAATGACTGTATTGTTGCAAAAGAAGCATTTTCTTTGAAACTAAACGCAACTGAACTTGAGACATGGTGACTCGTTTATCCAACATTTGCTCTGGGCTTTACGTTGTTTACAATAGGGTTAGAGAACACACTTCTTTTATTGGAACCTTACAAATACAGTTGAGTTTATAGGGACATTGTGGCGTGCGCCTGTAATCCAGCTAACAATGGAAGTTGCAAACTGATACAGTGACTGATACAGAGTCACTTCTTTCGGATGGTGACGTTAAATGTCGGTCCACACAGACGTCAATAATCATATCTGATTGATACACATCTGCAAAAACCCAATTACACACACACGCACACGGTTATGGTTCAGGATAGGTTTAGGGGTGTATTGGCAGAGTTAAAGTAAGGGAATGCAAATTGTCAGCGGAACCATGTTTATTGGAACATGTGTCATAGAACCATTGATTCTCCTACTGTTTACTACTCTAGTTTTTGTTTTTAGAAAATTTATTACTATTGATTATGTTTTCAATCTAAGGATAAAATATTTCTCTACATTCAGTAGAAAAGTGAGGTGAGTCATACTTGAAGTTATTTAGTATGTACATTGTACTTGTTCTTGGCAAATTGGAGCTATATGCCCATGCTCTCTGCGACTGGAGAAACTCAGACGATGGACCGCATCTTGCAGTGTGGCGGAACTGGTTTCACAGATGAGGACCTGGCCCTTGAAAATGAGATGGCCATCGCAGCCTTCGAGCGATGGAAGAATTAAATTTAGGAAATTTAAATTAATCTTGATCTAAGGAGACACAAAAGAAAGAACTTGTAAAAAGAGATTATCTTCCTTCTAATTCTCTCAATTCTATTGATGCTTCTTGAAGTACTTTTTGATAATAATAATAACAATAGTGGGTTCTTGCATAGCGCTCTTGTCTGTCAGACTTGACACTCCTGGCGCTCCCGATTATTACCCTGGCTTTAGCCCGGCTGCCATTACGGCGCTCTAGCGTTTCAAGGAATTAATTCCCTGCCAGGTACCCATTTACATCATGGTAAATCATTTCATATTTTGTCTTTGCTTACACAGTTTGATAAGCAGTATTCCTACAACATCCGTCATAACTATGGCAAGGAGGGAAAGCGGGCAAACTACACACCATACAGCTGTATGAAGGTCATTATGAGCAACGCACCAGGACAGGGAGATTACCATGGTAAGGGATTTAATATAAGGCGGCCTGTCTTCATCAGCTCGAGATTGCCAAATAGCCCGCTATTTCTGATTTGAGAAATAATCCCGAAGTTACAAATCGTGTCTCCATCAGCTCGAGACTTGATCTCGGCGGGACTTGAGATATTTTGCTCAGCGTTCGCGCAAAGTGCGAGTCTTCAGGCTGGTGAATAGGCACCAGACAAATGGCGGGATATTTTGCAAACTAGCCCAAGAAATCTTGGGATGACTATCTCGACCAAATACCCCGCTAATTGCAACTTCGAGCTGATGAAAATGCAAATTAACTGGATAATTTGCAATCGGGATAGTTCAAATAGCGGGATATTTGGTAATCTCGAGCTGATGAAGACGGGCCTATTGTATAACTTGTTTATCAATAAAGGGATATAGTGGTGAAACAAAGACAGATATAACAATAGAAAATTCACTAAAATTGATTGATCTGAATGTAAAATAATTCAAATGTAAATGAGAGTCTATGACAGAATCTGCAAAATTTATTGAATGTAGGATTAGTTTTGTTAGGTGTCACAGCTAGACTGCTCCAAGAGATATGCTTGTTTTCTACTCGTTTAGAAAAGTGATTTTAACATGGAACAAAAATATACATGTACATATATATCTTTAACAGTACTTGCTGGAAGTACAGAAATTTTTATACAACTATCTGTAGCATTTGCTACCCGTAAGTTTGGAAAAGTCTGCCTCTCTGTCTCACCCTCTTTGTATGTACTTTATTTATTTATTTCATTTATTGACCATTAAAAAAATATATATATATACAAATATCAAGACAATAGAAGATTAATATTAAAGAACAACAACATAAAAAGTAATAATGGCCAAGACCCCTGAGAAGCAAGACTGCTTGTAATCTGTAATGATGAAAATGATGAGAACTATCATAAAGCAAAAGAATGTTTGATAATGTACATAATAACCCATTTTGTGTGTTCAATCAGGTTGTCCGTTCCGTCATACTGACGGTGCCTTGTTGAAGCAGCGACTCTCCACCTTTGGACTGACCCAGCAGGGGGTGGACCAGGTTAGTCATACATAGTCCCATTCAAATTTAAATTATCTTTGAGTGGTCAATTTGAGATCACCTGAGCTGCATGTATGGTTGGAGGGTCATAAATGTAATAAAATGTGAACAAAAATTGTATGCAGCTTGAAGTTCATGGGTCACATTTACACGTAAAGAAGGCTTAGAGAGTCTTACTTTGACCGAAAATTGTGGGAAGAAGAAGTAGGGGAAGAAGGAGGATACTTTGGATGGACAGTCTGCAGAAATGGTTGGAAGAGAGAGGAGTGAAAGAACTGGGAGTGGTGCTAATAGAGAAGGCTAGGAACCCAGGGTTGTGGAACAGCATGATCGCCAAATTCAATCGATATGGCACTTAGAGAGAGAGAGAGAGAGAGAGCTAGGAACATGTTTTGTAAGTACGTCTGTTCTTCTCATTAAAAACAATAACTCTTAGAAATTATATTTGTGTCCCTATCATCCACAAAAATATCTGTCCATGAACATAGTGTTTTATCTATACATTGATTGAAAAGAGGAACAGAAATTATATCATTTATGATAAGCAGAAAGGATACATCAATTATAATCATCTCCTGTCTTTTGTGAACTTTTTGTTGGTGAAATGTCATATAAACATTGAAGGTAGTTTTAGATTTTATAAATATATCAGGAGGTTACTTCTGTAAACAACAATCTTCAACTAGGTGATGGAAATGAGAGTGATTTTGTCTCATATACGGTATATTTCATGATCGAAGGAGGACATTTAAACATTTAGTATTTTTTTTCTTCTATTTGTGGTTCTTTTTTTTCTTCACACGTTTACAGTTTATATTGGATTAAACATTTAAGTAAAATAAATTTCTTTATGAATGTTGTAATACTGATAGTCATAGACAAGAACTATTTAATTTTTCTTAATGTCAATTTCTAAAGCATGAACTAAATGGCATTGATTGTAACTATTTCACTTTTTTTCCCTCTCTCTCTCGTGTTACAGGTGATGGAGCTGGTCAAGGGTCATCACTATCAGCTGGCCTGCACCCGATACTTTGAGCTCTCGCATAACGTCCCAGAGACTGAGTTTCTTCTCAACCATCCTAACCAATACTTTGAGGAGAGCTTGAGGGTGAGAGGAGGGGGCACCGGCAGGAAAGAAGGTACGTTTCACCTCATGATTATCACAAATTTGTTTAAAAATGATTTTCTGGGTTTATATAGCACTGGTTTGGCCAGGGGGGTTAGACCTCCCTGCAGGGTCACTGACAGGTGGTTATCTCATCAAATCTGCTCTCAATTAATTAACATAAGAGAGAGGGGATCATGGGGGACCAACAGGCACCGATTAGGCATTGTTATATAGATCTCTAGAGGGCGCAAGTAGCTATAAATAGTACAGTGGGGCTTTAATGCATCAACAATGTCTCAAAGCGGTTTACAAATATGTTAATCAGGTCATTGGACTCAGACTTGCCTGCGCACACAATGTATGCACATTCTCCACTCCTTGGGGAGCATTCCAGTTTGAAGCCATTTTACAGATGCTCACAAACTACAATGACTTTCACATTCTACCACATACTCAATTAATACCTGGGTGGAGAGTGGCGAATGTGGATTAATATCTTGCCAAAGGTGTTTCTGCGACGGGCTGGGATTTGAACACTCAACCATTGGATAGAGAATCAAGTGATTGCACCACTTTACCATGACACCTCCATGGTGCCATGATATAGTGGACATATTCTGAAAACTATAATATCTTTTATACAAATGAAAAATGTCATGATAATCAGTATTTGCATTAGATATTTGTATACAAATTATGTTGATTGTCATGATAATCAGTATTTGCATTAGATATTTGTATACAAATTTTGTTGATTGTCATGATACATGTAATCGGTATTTGCATGAGATATTTGTCTACACTTTGTAGTAGCTGCTTGCGCAGATGTCTCTTTTAACTTACTTGTATGGAGTCTGTTTCTGCAGACGTTAAGTTATGGTAATGGCTTGTCCTAATTTCGATTTGTTATCGAATACGGGGAAACTGCTGTCTTTTTTTCTTATTTTGCAAAGGAAAAATGATGCTGTCATAACAAACTGAAAATTGTGCGTGCAATAAACACTTTCTATTTAGTTTCTACCTTATCTCTACCACCACTTAACAGCTTTAAGATTCGAAACACGATATTAAAACTTGAAAGAAGGAAATGAAGGGCTTACTAAAAGGTCACTCTGATCAACAGACATTTGAAACTAATGTACAAATACATTTCTAAAAGGTTATTTCCTTCCTCCATTTATTTATTCATTTTATGTAAACAGAGTAAAACTGTTTTCCTGAGAGGCCCTTGTACGAATTTGACCATAGGAAAATGCAGTGAAAAGTAAGAATAATATCTTTTTGGAGCAAGAAGGGCATTAATTCTGCATTCAATGTATGAGGTAGTGCCCTTTTGGCTCCAAAAAGGCAGTATTCTTTCTCAGGAAATCTTCACAAGAACTATCATATTACTCTACTCAAGAGGAATTCTGAACAGTTTGTACTTAAAGATAAACTTGAGTTCTGGTAAAAAAAAGAAAATTAATTCTCACAGAATCACATGAAACTTACACTGAATGTTCAAGATTACAAATAAATGACATATGCCAAACAATTTTGGAAGAAAATGTTTACTGGCTGAGTAATGAGCATAGAAAGACAAGGAAATCAAGGTAGTACCAGCCCCGACACCATGTGTGTTGTCCCATATATAGCTTTCTGTGTACAGAGCTTGTTACTAATTTACCAAGACTCGGTCAAATTTATTATGATTTTGATGACTCCAGAACCTTGCAGTGCACACCAATACTTACATGCTACATGATCAACTGTTTCTGATCCTTTCCACACCTTTTCTTTCACAATGCAATCGCATTACCAGTACTAAAGTTTATCTTTAAAGTAGATATTCATTGATTTTAAAAACTAACTTTATTTTCATTATTGCAAAGTTGAAACTTTGATTTGACAAGGTTATCAAAATTCGATGCTTGGAAACATTTGAAGTAATGATTATTATCAATTACAAAACGCTTAAATACAGCGCCGGCATAGCGCCTGAAGAGCTCTCCGAACGCTACTGAGATGTGTGAGATCACAGTATGGACATGATTTGCACAAGCAGACGATGTACCATGACATCTCACATATTTTCAGTGCCTGTTTTTTCATCTTCTCTTGAGTTCTTTTTCTTTCTTCACTACTGTCAGGCTAAATGTACATGTATAATATATTGCCTCACTCTAAACCCTGCGCATGTTTTCATTTTGATGACAAATGCAGCAATACAAAAATTAAGGAATTTGTCGCTTGTAAACAAAATAAGACGCCATTGTATATTCAGCTGCACACACCACGGTATGTTCGGCGGTTCAAGAGGGAACAAATGCCATCCTCAATATCATTCTGGGGTTTTTTTAATTTGAAAGTCTTGTTTCTTTGATTGTTAATTAACCCATATCCTGTGTATTTACACACAAAAGATTTTAGTTATCAGAATCTGTTTCATATCCCCTTTTGAATGGTTTGAAATGCCATCACATTTATATTCACTAAACTCATTATAATTTGACAAATAATAGCTTTGCAATTATGTTCATTCTTTATGGGATGTCGTCTGCTTGGGCAGTATTGGTCCATATTGTGATGTCATTAAAACACCATTATTTTTCTGGCGAATCTCTCGTACATCCAAGCTGCTATGGAGGTGGTTGTATTTGTATATTTATAAATCACCCGATATGCAGTTGATCTAAAAACTTGTACGATGGCCATCTGTTAGCTTACCAGTTTCTAGTGATACATTAGTTGACATACAGTGTATTTGTGATTTTCTTTGAATTTCCACTTTAAAGATAAAGTTGAGTTCTGGTCATGCGAATGCATTGTGAAAGAAACGCTGTGGAAACAATCAGAAAAGGTTGATCATCTAGCATATAAGTATTGGTGCGTACTGCAAGGTTTTGGAATCATCAAAATAATAAGAAATTTGCCAAGTCTTGGTAAAGTTACAAGCACTGCTATTAAAGTTCAGTGGTGGAAGAGATCTAGAGTTGTCCACTCCCATATGTCATCCTGTAAGTTTCTGTCTCTCTCTCTCTCTCTCTGGATTCATAAGATCGTAGGATTCATACCCACACTGCTAAGTTCAGTGTTGGAAGAGAGTTATCCACTCCCGTCTGTCATCCTGTAGGTTTCTGTCTCTCTCTCTCTCTCTCTAGTTTCATAACGTCATAGGATTCATAGCCGCACTGCTAAGTTCAGTTATGGAAGAGAGTCATCCACTCCTGCCTGGCATCCTTTAAGTTTCTCTCTCTTTCTAGATTCATTAGTTCATAGGATTCATTCCCACACTTCTAAGTTCAGTGATCGAAGAGAGTCATCCGCTCCCTGTCTGGCATCCTTTAAGTTTCTCTCTCTTTCTAGATTCATTAGTTGATAGGATTCATTCCCACACTGCTATGGTTCAGTGATGGAAGAGAGTTATCCACTCCCTGTCTGGCATCCTGTAAGTTTCCGTTTCTCTTCTCTCTAGGTTCATAAGATCATAGGATTCATTCCCACACTTCTAAGTTCAGTGATTGAAGAGATTTCCACTCCTGTCTTTCATCCTGTAAGTTCCTGTCTCTCTCTCTCTAGATTCATAAGATCTCAGGATTCATTCCAGCACCGCTAAGTTCAGTGATGGAAGAGAGTTATCCACTCCCTGTCTGTCATCCTGTAAGTTCTGTCTCGCCCTCTCAATTTTTTTGTTGTTGTTGATGGTTGAAGCGAAACTAAGCTTGTTTTATCACGTGCTGCGATTTGAGAGTTCACATACTATGGCTTAGATTGGCTGCATGCATAATTGAGCAGGGAATTTGTATTCGTTTTTTTGTACAGATTTACAGAGTATTAACAGTAACACTGCCGCTGCATGTGCGAACACCTGTTAATGGTACAGATATCTAATTTTCGAAGGCATACCGTGCTAAAAATTCCCTATTCTTATTCTTAAATGTTGGCAGGTATGTATTTAGAATATTGAGGCATTTGAAGAGCCATGCTTTTCAGGGAACATTTTTTATTTCATGTTCTTTCACATTTGCATAATAACAATGATAACGCTCACAAATTATTTTTCATGTCTTCCCAGAACCTTCTCTTCATGGCTCTTCAAATGCCTTCATATTCTAAATTTGACTGTAACAGCTTAATGAGGACCACATTTTTATGCAACATGTTTGTCTATATAGTCCCATATATCTTTCTATGTACAGTGCTAGTTACTTTTACTAAGCCTGCGCCAAATTTCTTATCAGTTTCATGATTCCAGAACCTTGCAGTACACGTATATGGTACATGATCAACTTTTTGTGATAGATTCCACACTGTTTTCTTTTACAATGCAATCGCATGACCAAAAATCAATTTCATATTTAAATGTCCTTTAGCTGCTCATGACAGATAGTAATCTCCATAGTGGCAGGTCTTGTTAGTTTTGCTGGGTACCGTATTCTAGTATTTGTGAGCCCCGATGTTATAATAATAATAATAATAGCTAGTTCTTATATAGCGCTTTTCAGGACCGACGGGCCCTCTCAAAGCGCTTTACAGATATATATATATTATTACCCCGGTCATCGGATTCTGGCTTACCTGCACACAATGTATGCACATTCTCCACTCCCTGGGGAGCATTTCAGCCAGGCGTCATTTTTACAAGCGCACACTTGCTAATCTAAGCACATTAACTTTTGCATCCTACCGGGTACCCATTAACACCTGGGTGGAGAGTGGCAAATGTAGATCAATGTCTTGCCAAAGGACATTAGTGCCGCGGTGGGGCTTGAACCGCGGACCTTGTGATCCACAGTCCGGTGACATATCCACTCGTCCACGACACCTCTACAAGGTTTTGATGTAAAAGGGTAATTTGATTGTTCTCAAGGAGTTTGTTCTTACATCATTCCACTTTCTTTATACCTGATGATACTACATTTTTTTCTAGATTGAAGTATATAATTCACTATAGGTTGTATTTTTTTTTTTAGAAATGTTATGTACAATTAAGTTTGATATCAAGAATATTGTGTGAATATGGATTTTTTGTCTTTCTGACTGAAACTGGGA